TATAAGATAAGCGTAAAATATTTGCAATGTTAAGTTTTGTTAGGAAATTATTTATTGTTAAATTAGTATTTGCAACAGGAAAAAAAATGTATAAATGTGCCAACTTACGTACCGGGTATACAGTTTAAATTTCCAAATCATTTAAAGCCTTGTATTTGGTGGTTTCCAAATAGTATATCCAATAATAAGAAAAATGCACCAAAAAACACAGATATTGAATAATCACTTCCAATCACTTATGTGCCTTTAGTAGCCCTGTCACTTTTTGCCAAGGTAAACAAGTAGGATAACTTTGTAACTAGCTTGGATATTAAAACAAAATTAATTAACAGCTCGTTTTTTGTTGTTGGTTTTTTTTTTTTGAACTTTCTTCCGATAGCATGAAATTCAAATATAAACATCCTGTTGGTAAATAAAAAATCTCGAAGCAAAACAGGAACGGAATAATATAAATATTTGACTATTTACTACGATACAAACATTGGCGCTACCAGAGGAACGCCGCGCCGCTCCCACCGGCTCACGGTAACTAACCAGCTCCTCTCTGGACATTTTCGAAGTCATTCATTTAAGTTCCCACTCTTGCTCTGGATCTGGGTCCTTGACTTTGAAATCCTGGGCAACATCGGAAAATAAGCTTTTTTTTTAATGGATTCTAAGGATGAAACGACTCTAAAACGGAGACATAGATTGTGTCTAAGATAGAATCTCAGATGGAATCTTAGATGGGATTTGAAATGGAGTCTAAGATGCAGTCTGTGATGGAGTCTGAGATGGAGCCTAAGATTGAGTCCTGAGATGGAGTCTAAGATGGAGTCTGAGATGGAGTCTAAGATGGAGTCTGAGATGGAGTCTAAGATGGAGTCTAAAACTCCATGTAATGGAATTACCTGGTATAATGATGTGATGACAGTGAAGCCCTTTTTTAAGTATGGCTTCGTATCAACAGTACATAAAAACTATTTCATAAAAACAACTAGACGACCTGTTATTAAAACCGAAAGTTGAATGAGACCAACATGTTTCCCAGTGTTTTTTAAGAGATAATATGAGGTTGTCCTTTATTGATACCGCTCAGCCTTACTAATATATATTATATAAATATAATATATATATATATACATATATATATATTTAATATATATATATATATATATATATATATATATATATATTTTTTATATTATATTTTATATATATATATATATATATATATTTTTTAAATTACATATAAAAAATATATATTATATATATATAAAATATATATATATAAATATATATATATATAATATATATATATATATATATATATATATATATATATATTTAATATATTATATTATATATATATATATTTATATATATATTCTCTAAACCGGAAACAAAAAATGTCTAAATAAAATGTGCGTCATGGTCATGCTCGATAGTCCATTGGGTCACTTTTTTATTTCTTACTTTCCCAATTCTTATTTTATAAAACACCCAATCCAGGGTGATTTTTGTTTGCTTTGTTGGTTCTAAATAAATTCTTTTGATTTATAATTCATAGTGACTTTAGGATTTTTTGACTTAAAAGATTATGATTACTTTGAGCGTATAACTTTTAAAAAATAATAATAATAACACATTGTGACGCTTGTTAAAGTTTATTATGAATTATGTTTAAACGCCTCTTTTTTGTCACCCCACATCAAAATTGTTTAAACCCGTTTCAGCAATGAAAATCGATAATGGCGACTGATTTATAGTGCTTTACCCGCTCTGTTCCGTATACTTCAATACACAAAGCAGTAGTTCGCTGACAACTATAATTATGTTAATGAAAACGGCGCAGGTGATCAGAACTGGCGACATGGATTCAGATCCTCGTGATAATCAGATGGGGATATGAAGTAGCCTATCAGTGTGAACTCAGTTGACGTACAGTATAATGTGTTGATGGAACGGAAAGAACTCTACACACGGGCGCAGGAAGGGGGCATTCCGCCACAAGACATTTCTTTTAGGACGTCATTCTCAGTCAACTTCATCTTCATATGCGTACTTTATATCAGTTATTTTCGATGTGTATTCTGAATGCATTGATTAGAGGTGGACAAGACAAGACTGTCCCCGGACGTCACAAACTCTACTTACGCCACTGCACAGATGTGAAGGCTGAATTTTTTATATTTTTTTATATCTCCTTGTTAACCCACATGATAAACAGGTCCAATGGGACTACTGTAGCCCCCCCCCCCCCTTTTCCCGACCCGATTTATTAAGTTTCTGTGAGCTGATGTTGCACAACTGCAAATCGAACATTCCTCAACTGCATAACTCATTCCCCCCCCCCGCCAACGAGTGGTTTCCTTGCCCCTAGAGGTGGGGCTCTCGGGTGTGTTGTGATTGACTCTCAGAGTCCCACTCTTCACAGATGTACAAAAACTTGAATGTCAAAAAGCTATGATGATCAGTGGATGAATGACCCCCATAAGGTCGCAAAATAATTTAAAGTTTTATTTCTAACAGCTGGCAATTAAATTTGAGTTATTGATAATTTTTATTTTTAGAACCACTTGATAATATTTTTTTAACCATCTATTCCTAACCTTGGACTCTCGTAAACTACTTCGGTCTTTATGAAAACGCACACAGTGTTAGTTTAGCATATGCATTTACTCTCCATCCTGCCTCACTCATTCCTAAGATGTCTACTCTGTATTTGCTCTGTTCCATAGTTACTTTTTTTTATCTTCCCCTCCTCACAACATCGTTCTAACATTCCAGGTGCCAATCCTGGAACTTTTCCTCAGCGTCAGACAGGAATTCGGCAAGTCAGCTCCCTTATGGGTTTGATTAACCTGTGTCATAATCCCTTTACTATAAGGACCCACCCTCGCTGGGGGTGGCAAATGCTTATTGGTTGCGCATCTTTTCATAACAAATTTGAAAACAAAAAAAGCATACCTCTGAGATGATTAATGACATAATGCACTTTGCATTAGAAAAAGTAAACGCCCACCTCATGTTTAGATTATGGTTCAGGTGTGTATAGATCTATGGACAACAAACACATACGCCTTGCCATTCAAAAAGTTTTTTTTTTTTAAATATTTCTGGGGGGAAAATAATTAGAGAAGCAGTTTATCTTTACTTCCGTTTTATGTTATATGACGCTGATTGGTGTCAAAGATGTCATGTGACACTGATGGGTGTCAAAGATGTCATGTGACACTGATGGGTGTCAAAGATGTCATGTGACACTGATGGGTGTCAACAATGTCATGTGCGATTAATTGGTGTCAAAAATGTCATATGACACGAATTGGTGTCTTTGATATAACTGGATGCTGATTTTGTGTTTTCTTTACACTAAAGTGTGTGTTTTAAAACTGTATTGATTTACAAGCACCACATTTAATAAAAACATTTTATTAATTAAAATGTGTGTTAAGTAAATTGTTCCGTTTTTATATTTATAGTTACAAAAAAAAATTGCAATAGTTTTTTTTTTGGTTTTTTTTTTTAATCTGTCTCTGTACCCAGTGTTAACCTTCTGTAGCAGACAGTATTCACCTCATTCTGAAATCTAGGTGCGGCTTCAGGTGAGATGGATGCGCTTTACAATACTGTAGAAATAAAAATTAAAAAATAAACATTTGATGTGTGGAGGTTTAAAAAAAAAATATGTTATACTATTTTGTATACAAGCCTGTCATATGAATCTATACCTGTCCCCCACATTTAGCCTGTTTTTTTTCTCTAAGGCTACCGAAAGGCAACCGAAAAAAGAAACTTCAACACAGGTAATAGTTCATGTGATTGATATATCTTCCATGTCCGCAAGTAAGTTAGATCTCCTCCGTCGATCTAACAATAATATTATTATTATTATGGAGAGATGACCCCGGGGGGAATGTGGGATTATTTTATTTTATTTTATTTATTTATTTATTTTTTTTTTGGGGGGGGGAGTGTTTGGTTGAGATCTTATCAATGCAACGAGATGGAGTGTGGTGCGGCAGTGACGTAGGAAGGAGGGTGGAGAGGGGGAAGTCCGCCCCGGGTGGTACTTTTGTTCTCTATACTAAGGGTGGCCATCTTCTGCTCCCGGTGACTCTTGAGCTTTTTTTTTTTTCGCGAATAGTGCGTGGGGAGGGGGGGGGCGACAAAAAGCTTGGACCCACCTCGGGCGCACAAACTCCCAGCTACCCCACCATGGTGGGATTGCCGATTATGAAAATTGGCTGATGAGATGTTCTTGTTTCTTTTTTTCTTTTTTTTTTTTTTTTTTTTTTTTTTTTTTTTTTTTTTTTTNTGGTCGGCTGATGTCTCGGTGACACAGGAACGGAAGGTGTTGATGAGATGAGACGGCAGCGTTGGCTTCTGTTTGTGATGTGTGAAAAGCGTTTCCGAAGAGTTCATTGAATAAACACGGCAGGACTTTCCTTACGGATTATCACATCAAGACCTTTCCGTCGGATTATCACATCAAGACCTTTCCGTCGGATTATCACATCAAGACCTTTCCGTCGGATTATCACATCAAGACCTTTCCGTCGGATTATCACATCAAGACCTTTCCGTCGGATTATCACATCAAGACCTTTCCGTCGGATTATCACATCAAGACCTTTCCGTCGGATTATCACATCAAGACCTTTCCGTCGGATTATCACATCAAGACCTTTCCGTCGGATTATCACATCAAGACCTTTCCGTCGGATTATCACATCAAGACCTTTCCGTCGGATTATCACATCAAGACCTTTCCGTCGGATTATCACATCAAGACCTTTCCGTCGGATTATCACATCAAGACCTTTCCGTCGGATTATCACATCAAGACCTTTCCGTCGGATTATCACATCAAGACCTTTCCGTCGGATTATCACATCAAGACCTTTCCGTCGGATTATCACATCAAGACCTTTCCGTCGGATTATCACATCAAGACCTTTCCGTCGGATTATCACATCAAGACCTTTCCGTCGGATTATCACATCAAGACCTTTCCGTCGGATTATCACATCAAGACCTTTCCGTCGGATTATCACATCAAGACCTTTCCGTCGGATTATCACATCAAGACCTTTCCGTCGGATTAACGCAACACGACCATCATCGGATTAACACATCAATGCTGTCATCGGATCAGTCAGTGATCAGAACGGCTTTCGTATCATTTAAATAAGTTGTTTTTCAGGGGGGAAATAACCTAAAACAAAAGTTCGATAACTCTCGTTTAGGATTGAACGTGGCCACAGTTTACGTGCTCTTGATAAACGTGAAGCGTATTTTTTGGGGTTGTCCCAACTAAATAAGAGCCTATATCTAGGTTACTTTGTATAAGAGCCTATATATAGGTTACTTTGTATAAGAGCCTATATATAGGTTACTTTGTATAAGAGCCTATATCTAGGTTACTTTGTATAAGAGCCTATATATAGGTTACTTTGTATAAGAGCCTATATATAGGTTACTTTGTATAAGAGCCTATATCTATGTTACTTTGTATAAGAGCCTATATATAGGTTACTTTGTATAAGAGCCTATATATAGGTTACTTTGTATAACAGCCTATATATAGGTTACTTTGTATAAGAGCCTATATATAGGTTACTTTGTATAAGAGCCTATATATAGGTTACTTTGTATAAGAGCCTATATCTAGGTTACTTTGTATAAGAGCCTATATATAGGTTACTTTGTATAAGAGCCTATATCTAGGTTACTTTGTATAAGAGCCTATATATAGGTTACTTTGTATAAGAGCCTATATATAGGTTACTTTGTATAAGAGCCTATATATAGGTTACTTTGTATAAGAGCCTATATATAGGTTACTTTGTATATGAGCCTATATATAGGTTACTTTAACTCATTGAAAGAAATTCGGCTAATTTGGAAAAATAGCACCCTGGCGTCATTTGCGTGTTTTCTCCCTGCTTCCGATAGGGTCAAATCCCTGATTTCGATAGGGTCAAAACCCAGGTTAGCGATAAGTTTAGGGAATCAGGTTAGGTTTAGGGATACATTTAGGACATAAGTTCGTGGGTCGCGGCAACCAAGATGGCGGCCACGGTGCCATCTCTCCAAATTTACCAGAAATTCAATTCTGAAGCTAAAATTACATTTTAAGCTTATAAATAATTATTGGGAGGAAAGCTGGTATTCTCAAGAACATAGGTAGCACTTGTAAAAATTTCCTAGTCATAGTATCGATCCTCAACATCATTGAGGCTGTTGACTGATGATTGCGGCAGTGTCAAAATTGCCCAGCTTGGTGGTCGTTTTCTTAACGAAACAAAGTGTCCTCCATTAGATACATCTACCCATTAAACTGATAACCGTGGCGAAGTTACCGAACTTACAATATTGTCGATAGGAAGAGTGTAAAAGTTAAAACTGTTCCTTAAACAGAATTCAAGACAAAATACAGACTTTTTTGTGACTCCCAGAGAAGAAGTAGAGGACAATGAGTATGAGTTTCACAGACAAGTTTTCCGGTAAGAATTTGGTGTTCATTATTTATTAGACGCACGCGTCTGCAATGTACCGCTCCTAAAATAGTAATACTCGCCAGTGCGCAAAGGACGGTGTGCATACCACTGCACTATCTCCGAGAACTGTGCGCATGAGTGGGGTATTACGTCCAAATTTCGTTTGCGCTCAAAATAGTATGGTCTCAATGTTGAAGTTTACTTTCTTAAAAGATCAGCAGCTTTCTTTTGCCCCTTCTTTCTGGTGAGTAATATTAGCGATATTTATATATATATATAAAGCATGTCGGTTCGCCTCCTCCCTCCCCTTCTCCCCTGATATCTTCTCTATGCTAATATATCTAATCTATAAGCCAAGCACATCGCTTGGGGGAAATCGAGACACACGTCGGGCGTTCAAATCAAGCCAAAAAGTTTTGAGTTTTACAAGTGGCTCTTAGCACTGACGTTGTTTCCTCTGAATGAGTCCACCATAGAGGAAACAGTTGAAGGTAGGCTATTAAGTTAGGAAGGTTGCAGCTGTTGATTTTTTTACACCAAACCGATTATATATATGCATATATATATGTAATTAGGTTACCAAAATCAATCAATATATATATATAATCTATTTGCATTACAAAATCAATCAATATATATATATATAATCTATTTGCATTACAAAATCAATATATATATACATATAATGTCGATTCGTTTCCTTTAGAGTGTTGTTTCTTTTAACTGTGAGAGCCATTGCTAGAAAGCCCCTGGGTCTCTGGTGGAGTAGAGGCTGGGAACACTTGCTGTAGAACAGTTATATGCAAAAACTTGTTTGTTAGTATGGCGTCCAATGTCAGTTTGCTAGCTTTTCTCAAATTTAGTTTAAAATCATCAAAGTTGAGTTGCTTCCCGGTAAGCTACAGAACGGACACGTCTTTTTTGTTCGCAGCTCTATCTCAATGTTCCTTTTAATTTCACTTAGTTGATGGTACCTCCTCTTTCCTATTCCAAAATACATGTGCATGGTCAGTGAAGTAGCCATGGTTAGTGCCACCCCAAGGTGGGGGTCAAGCTTTTTTCCGCCTCATTCCACGAACGAATTCTCCAGGCGGCCAAAAATGCCGCCCCTCAATAAAATGAAAAAAAAAAGTTCCGCCAGGGACGGAACGCCCCACTTCGCATATCCGCCCCCACCCTTTTTTTTTCCTAGGCCACTGAGCCTATTCTAAATTGTTTCATTGCTGTCAAAACCAAAATTAGGACTACCCGGTCGTATGATAGATCCAACAATCGACGCGGAACTTCATGGTTATAGTTTTTTTGTTTTTTTTTTAAATAAGGCTAACACATAGGCATTTCGACATTTTTTTTTTTTAAATTACCTGTAATCTAATTATCAGCTTCAGGTGACGTGGTCTACCAGTCACGAAGTCTGGTACAGAGGGACAAAGGGACAACACGGCCGTCACGTTCTTCCCATGACCTCTGTTACACGAGGAATGAAAGTGTGGACGGAAGTGATCATTTCTGGCCGGCCAAATCGTATAATGCTGACAGAATTTACGAATCGGTGACATTGTTCAGATTCGTGCGAAGAAAGTGGGGCCGGGGGTGGGGGGGGGGGGCGGGTGATAGCGCGTTGTTTTTAAAAACCTAATTGGAGCTTCAGAAAAAGAGTAGAAAATAGTCATGATGCAAACCTGTACAAGTGTCAAAGATATGTAAACCTGTACAAGTGTCAAAGATGTGTAAACCTGTACAAGTGTCAAAGATGTGTCAACCTGTACAAGTGTCAAAGATGGCTTCACGTTTTCCGCTCCACCCCCTCATAACTCACCAGCTATCCTTCTTTTGTAGATCCTTTATTATTAATTTCGCGTTTGTTCGTGTGTGACTCCAAAATCTTCGGAAGGGTGTTGACAGACTTAACGTCATCCCATCGAGCTGAAAATTTGTCTTGTTGCCGATTGCAATGTCATTCTATCAAACTATCAGAGTTGTTGCGCGAAGCCGATGACCATGTTTTAAATTCACCCCAGGCCGGTTGAGCCGGCTGCTGGTTTTACATGTTGTCACACACGCACTTAAAACTCTGGTTGAGAACCTGACCTGCGGCCTGACAGGCCGTAATTGTGTGGCTTCTTAAAACCAAAGCTGTCGCAGTGGCTTTACATTAAGGCCTGTTCTTGGGTTTATTAGGTATACTTTTAAGTCTTTATAATATATAGTGTTTTTTTTTAACTGTGTTAACGTAGCTGATGTTAGTTCTCTTTCATTTTTCTTAAATACGTTCCTTACATCGGCCATTCAGCTCATCGTTCAGTGATTCGTCAGTTTCGGAGAAGCAAATTCTTTGGTGTGTTTCTTTCTATTTTTTGTTTGGACGGTGTTTTCAGTGGCGAACCTTGACTAAATAATACCCGGGGCGAACTCTCAAAATTGCGCCCCTCTCTCTTCCCCCCCCCCCCGTAAATTATCAGTACAGTGGATCGTTGATTTTCCGAAGGATGATTATCATAATACTTTGTTTATCCGAACCGTCCCTGTCTTTTATAATTATTATTATCGGATGCATTGCGTATGGCATAGATGAGAAACGATTTTAAAAAATAATTTTCTTTATTGATCCAAATAAATGGATTTTGTTTATTACATATTAATTTTCAGCACATACTTAATTTATTACTTACAAAAACATTTTGTGAAAAAAAAAAAAACTAGATGAATTTCAACACATGACATCTAGAGAATTTCTCAGCCGCAAAAAATAGGCGGCCATATTCACCCCTTCGACAGCTTCGCTCCTCCGCAGACGCGGGTATTCTTTCTGTCCCCAAGACTCGCACAAAAACATTCGGTGAACGATCTTTCTCTTTCTGTGCACCCAAACAATGGAATTCTCTTCCATTACACATCCGCAATATACCGACCATCACAACCTTCAAAACTGCACTCAAAACACATCTATTTAAACTCTACTATCCTGCCTGATTCCCACCTCTGACCGTAAAACGGTGGTACTGAGTGTCGTCCATGGCTTGAGATGTAAATAGTTTTATATATACATTTGTATTGTTTTATTTAATTAATTGTTTCAGATTTTTATTATGTTTGTTCAATTGTATGTACAGCGTGGTGAGCCCAGCCCTAGGCTGTATGTGCAGCGTGGTGAGCCCAGCCCTAGGCTGTATGTACAGCGTGGTGAGCCCAGCCCTAGGCTGTATGTACAGCGTGGTGAGTTCAGCCCTAGGCTGGGGTACCACGCTATATAAAACCACGTATAATAATAATAATAATAATAATATACCTTGAAACGTCACTCCCTTGGTGGCGTACTAAACTTTATTTAGATTTTGTAACCGATGGTAGATCAAGATGTTATATTCCGACAGACTTGTGAACAAGATATTTTTTTATAACTTCCGGTCCTAACTTTAATGGAAAGATTCCCCCCCCCCCTGATCAAGGTGAGCTTAAGTATCCGTGATGAAGAAGGGGGGAAGAATTGTCCAATTATTTTGTTCTAAACAGCATTTTTCTTCAGATAGTTCTTCAAAGGAAGGTAGTTGTGTTGGCGTGATACTACTAGGTGTTTTGATATGCCTATTTGATAAGGCGTTGGATATCAGACGAGGTAGTCCTACACCGGCAAGTAAAACTTAAGTTCAGTAGGCTTCCAATAGTATACGTTTTTTAAGATAAAAAGTATTTGGTGCACTTTTTTTTTTAATACAGCGAGCCACGTTTATGCCATGTTAGATTATTATTATTAATGGTGAGGCCTAGGTACTTATATTTAAATGTCTCTGCTTGCTCTATATGGTCTCACTGAATACAAGTGATGGTTGTATTAAAATATATGTAAGTAGGTAGATATTGGTAACAATGATGTATCTGCTTTCTGATCATTTCTTATTAATTTCCTTCGTGTTCTTTTCTTTTTTTTTTAGAAGAGGGAGCAGGAAGAGTGTTAAGAGAATCTTTGATCGAAAAATAAGAAACTTTCCATTCTTAAAATAATTGGACTATATTTTAAGTTCTTTGGTCTAGCAAACTTGACTTAACTATAACTTAAAGATACGAAAATGTATAAAAACCTTCGGATACATAGAAATCTACATGTGCTTGACCGACTTCTCTATTTTCTGCATAGAATGCAATGCTCTGAAAATGCCACTGTACAACCTCATACGTTTAGCTGTCACTGACAGTAGGCCCTATTGTTATATTAGGCAATACAGCTTCTACAGTTGTCAAGGGTTCTCAGACCTATTATCATCAGCAGTGGCACTACAGCCCATGTAGGGCCCTGGTCTGCTCCAACACATCCTTCCATTCGGAGCGATCCATGGCTTTCCGCCTCCATGGGTGAACCCCCCAACTGTTTCTCAGACCTATTAGATCGAAGTAAACCATTGTATCTGAACAAAATACATGCTTGAAAAACTGATTAAAAATTTTCTAACAAACCATTAAGTCGAATCAATGATGACATTTTGATTGTTTGACAAAAAAAGCATCAATCACTCAAAGTATCTTTGATACCACCTTGGAGCTTAGCTTTAAAAACTGTTAAAACATTATGATTATGCCAGAAGTTACTGGTCTCTGATTTGCCTCCAGCCCCCCTTTTTTTCTCATCGTAAAGTAAATTAGATCTATCCGTTTATGTATAGACATAAATATTCGCTGTTAACATCCACGGAAAAATTGAATTAAGTACTGCCCATTATTTGTTAGTACTACTGAAAACAGGAAATCGATAAGTAGCCTACATCAAATTGTGTTTCAGTTTCTGACTGAAGCGAATTCTATTTTCTTTACATTATTTTTTTAAGAAATGCATTTAAGTTTGTCCAGCATTTCCAATTCATTAACAAATTTAGTTCATTTGAGCTCAGTCTGGTGGTCACATTTTTGTAAAAATTTGTTAGGAAGCAGTTTATTTTGGATGTAAATCTATTTATAGAATAAACATAACATGGGAGGATTTATCAACATGTGGTATAGCTAGGGTTGCCATATCTAGCCTGGACATCGTCGGGACACTCTGGAATGGGGGTGTAGAAATGAAGTAAAAAAATGATTTAATATAATTATTTATAAGGTCCATAACGGAGACAGTTCCGATAAATCGGGACGGATGGCAACCCTAGGCAGGGTTTCTTTCAGCTATATCTCCAGGGGGGGGGGAGCACTGTCCCCCGGGGAAAGCCAAGTGCCCCCCCCCCGGGCGAAAATATGTCCAACAATAAATCAACTGGCACCCCCCCCAAAAAAAAAAATCTGAAGTGACCGCCCCATCTGTGCATAGGGTTTCAGAGGTCCAGGACAACAAATGTTTTTGTTTTGTTGTCTTTTTTAATAAAAAAAAAAACACTTCCTTCCTTGTCTTACCCCCATGTGCAATGATTTCAACAATATCATTATGGTTCGCGATGAATTTATTGCGTCACAAAATGGATGTTGCCAAAGAAAACGTGTTCATTTTTTTTCGATTTAAGTTTTTTTTTTTAAACAAACAATTATATGTATTAAATTTGTGTTACGTATATCAGCAAAACAACATGATTGATTTCTAGACATTAACAATGCGGCAAGTCTAGACCAATAAATATGTTGACCTGATGTGTGTGTGTGTGTGTGTGTGTGTGTGTGTGTGTGTGTGTCAGTTTCAAGCCACTGTCATTGAAAGTAGACACTGTCAGTGACAGTCTCAATGTAAGTCCTGATCCAAATAATCAGGCTTACACACATACACACACACACACCCTCACCCCACCCCTTCCTTCCTCTTGTGAGCGTTCCAAGAGGATCTGACAGAGTTGTCTTTCGTTTCTGAGTAGCCTTGCCTCCCACAGTTAATGAAAATGCACCATTACGTAAGCATTAAGTTATAGGGTCTAAGTTATCAACATCAACAGAACCGTTGAAATTCCTTCACCGGGTAAAACATAAATCATTGAAGTCAGCTTGGGAACCTTGTCACCCCCAAAAATAGTTCACCTGATGGCGTTGGAGTTTCTTCTCTGCTCCCACACCCTACACGGCCTTCCCCCACACCCCCCCACACCCCCCACTTTGCTGCTTCACTTGCTCGACAACATTGTTTGTCCGGATCTTCTGCCCCGTCTGGACTATCTCCCCTTGCCAGTTTTTTGTAGCGCTGCTCTTCTTAAATTTTTTTTTTTGTTTTCTTGCTCCAATATCCACCTTTCTTTTCTCTCCCCTTTTCTCTCTCTCTCTGTCTCTCTCTCTCCCCCTTTCTTTTTCTGATCATATCTCTTTTTCCCTATCACTCTCTTTCTCACTAGCAATCTCTTTCTCACTTTTTATCTCTGTCTCTATCTGCCTCCCTCTATTTATGTCCTTTTCCCTCTTTATCTCTTTGTCATTGTCTGTCTTTCTCTTTGCCTCCCTTTCTTTCTCTCTCTCTCTCTCTCTCTCTCTCTCTCTCTCTTCTGATCTTATATCTATATTTTTCCCTATCGCACTGACTTAGCCTTCCTTTCTTTTTCTTTTTTCTCTCTCTCTCTCTCTCTCTCTCTCTCTCTCTCTCTCTCTCTCTCTCTCTCTCTCTCTCTCTCTCTCTCTCTCTCATTCTCCATCACTAGATCTACATTTCACATTTCTGTGTGCATCTTTAGATTTGTTGTCGCGTGCCTCTTGTTTGTTGTCGCGTGTTTGCGCAGATTACTTTGAGATCCACTTGATCTTTGTGGGCTGGCCATGCAGAGCTCATCTCTGGCCATTAGGTCTTTCCCCGCCCTCTGCTGGCAAAGCATGTCTCAACTCCCGTTCACGGAGAACCCTTTGTAAACTGTGCCAGCAAAGTATCCCTACATTGGACACAAGCACGTTTACTAAATTTTCACCCAAAAGAACACACACAAAAAGCATACATTTATTGAATATTTTATTGGGACGTGAGAAAATACCTGTCAACTTACGAAATAAAATTATTTGTTCCCCAAATATAGCTGATCATGGGCGCCCGCAGAAAACTTTCTAGGGAGGGAGGGGGGGGGGCACAAAAAATCGATTAACTTTCCAGGGGGGGTTGAAAATTTTTAGTAATGATTTAATGTAGTTTTAATTTCCTGTAGCGTATTTGTATGGTGAACGAACGGACATGACGTCAGCTTAGTTACTTTCTCTTTATTTTCTCTTTACTTTCATACTTTTTTTGTCTATTTTTGTCTAAAATTTTTTTATCCAATCGATTCAGGGGGGGGGCAAGTGCCCCCCTTGCCCCCCCCCCTACGGGCGCCCATGTAGCTGATGCAATGTATTGATGCAGATTTTAAACGTGTACACGTATTTTAAAAGGTTAGTTACTATTATTTCACTGAATGCTCAGATCTATATTTATCTCGATTTAATTTCTTGCAAACTAGTTATAAAGAAGAAAAAAAAAAGAATTGTTTTAGAGAAGCGTTGAGACGCAGGCAGCGCAGAAAACATGTCAAAAGCGCAATGCAAAGATTGCCGTGGTATTTTTTTTTTTTTAAATTACTCAATAAATTCAGACGAAGCACAAAGTTAAAGCAACATATTCCAAGATTTTGATCAAAGAATGTACCTGTAGCTAATGTGATTCTTTCGCGTGAATTCGACTTCAGCTCTCTATTCCCGAGTAGCGAATTGTAATGGCAACGGCTTCTTGCCAAAGTCCGGCAAGACTGCCCTCATTCATTTCGTCTCTCTTGTCAAAATAACATTAAAAGTTTGCAGTGTAAACATCAAGAGATAAATAGCTTCAATCTTTGCCGCTCTAAATTTTAAATTAATATTATTTCGGTATGTTTGCCGCACTCTTTCTCCGAATATTTAAAAACAAAACCAAATCATGTTTCAATCTCGTATCCTCGTTATTTTCTGATAGCTATAAAGTTATTCCTATGAGCCGAGGATTAAACAGCACAGCATTGTTGTTTCATTTTTGTTTGTGTTGTGTGTGTGTTTGGTTGGTGCTGCAACAGGACAGCGTTGTTACGTTGAGACACTGGCCACTTGCTCGTCCTTCCCGTCTGAAGTTTGCCGTAACATAACATTTTGGTGTGTTCAATCAAAGCTCTGTGCCCAGGGGGGCCCAATCGATGGCATCTTGTTTTGGTGGACCTTGCAGACGATGAGAAAAAAGCGCGGTAAGAAGCTTTCATCACCTTAACTTCATTCACCTGTCTTTTTAGATATAGGTGTCATCATAGCTCTTAGGTGTCATCATAGCCCTTAGGTGTCATCATAGCTCTGATGTAAGTCAAATTGTGATTTATTTAGTTCAACAAATTGAATACTTTTTTATTTAAGGTAAATTATTTATGTTACATAGATTAAATGAAATGTTTACGTGTGTGAAATCAAAAACTCATTTTATAAAATTTTAATTTCATCTTTACATATAATATATTTATTCATATATTATTTATCATATCATTTATATGGCTTATATTTGTTGGTTCAGGTTTTTCCAACCTTTCTTAACTGTGCAACCCCTATGATTGTATGACTAGGTCTCGCACCCCCCCCCCATGATTGTATGACTAGGTCTCCCAACCCCCATGATTGTATGAGATCGGAGAGCACCCCCCCATAGTTGTATGACTAGGTCTCGCACCCCCCATGATTGTATGACTAGGTCTCGCACCCCCCCCCCATGATTATATACATATATATCTAGATACTTCTTTAAAAATTAGGAAAGTCTGTCCAATTTACTATTTCCGAAATGTAAATTTATGTGACTTGGAATATTTCTGTAATTTATTTTTTGAGGAAGCAAAACATAGAGACCCGATTCAGTTACATACGTAAAAAACCTGAATTTTTAGTTGATGATGCTTCGCAATAGCGTGTAGAAAGAAGTGGAATATGCCTTTCATTATAACTCCGGAAACACCGGGTAATATCTTCTAGTGTATAACATACGATAAGATTATTTTATTGATACAAATAAATGAACATTTTTCTTTTATTACATTGTGCAAAACAGTTTCAGCACATAGATAAATATAATGACAAGGACGAACTTTTTAAAACTAGAACAATTTTAATGCAAGAGATTTGAAGTATTTCTCAAAAGCGAAAATCAGCCGTCGTGGGCCAAAGAACTTCAATCCCTTAGTGACAGTATAAAATTTAAGAGTGATGATTGAGATTTTGTAAAAATTGGGCAAACGCGCGTAAATTATGATAGCTCGGAGGAAAATAAACAATTTTTATATGTTTCAGTCCTAACATCTTTAGCTGATGTTAAGTATCTGCAATCTGGGAGGTGGGGCGTATCTTACAAATATTTTTAGTTTTATCCTTTTTTTTTTTTAGTCTACAAATGCAAATTGCTTCGAATAATTCTTCAAACGATGGGGTAATTTTGTTTGAAGGATATTTACTTGCTTTTATGGTGTCTATTTAATTGGTGTTTGCCGAGATACGATGAATTCCCACAACAGCAGATAATGCTGAAGCTCTTTAGGCTTCTAAATGTTGCATTGTAGAATAAATTTAAAATGTAAGAAGTTGTTGTTGTTTTTTTTGTTCGACAAAAAACGTGTTTGGTTCATTGTTTAAAATAAAATTTGGCCTTTGTCATTCCACGTTAACTGATTAACAATGGTCAAACCTACAGAGGCGTGGCGTGGTGGGGGCAGGGGGGACAGATGTCCCCGGGCCTCATATAGTTAGGGGCGCCAAAATGTGCTTTGATATTATTTTATTGATGAAAATAATGGGTTTGAGAGTTGAAAAAAAAAGAAAAAGGGGCGCTAAAAATGGATCTTGTCTCCGGGCGCGAATCTTGTCCTCCGGGGTGCCAAACACCCTCGCTACGCCACTGCAAACCTAGGTACGCATATGTCTCTACTTGATGTGTACTGCGATTGTTGTTATTATTGCTAGATCTGCAATTCGGTGAGCCTCCCCCCCCCCCTCCACGAATAGACAAAACATTTAAACATTTATTTCAAATAACATTATTACCCAGAAACCCTTACCTCTTTAGTGTCCTGCGATTGTTGTTATTATTGCTAGATCTGCAATTCGGTGAGCCTCCCCCCCCCCCCTCAACGAATAGACAAAACATTTAAACATTTATTTCAAATAACATTATTACCCAGAAACCCTTACCTCTTTGTCTTTTCATCCCCTTACGATCACTGCCATACGACCCATCGTTTTTTTTTTCCCCCAGACACCAGCACACGACAAGGCAGCGAGCTGGCTACCACATACTTCTCCTACAGTGGACCTACCGCCCTGGACACCAGTATCGTGAGCCCCGTCCCCGGGCCTGGTAGTCACCATGGTCATAACAGTAGGAAGGCTTCCATCCGCTCTTTTTATAGGTGATAAAAAAATATATATTTATTGGACAGATTCAAAGCATACCAAAAATTTACGAATTCAATCCAAGATTACCAAAGTGATACAGATGCAATCCAAATTATACCCAAAACAATACGAAGTTCAATCCGAAATATACCTAAAGTGTACAAAGTCAATATAAAATATACAAAAAGTATACGGATTAAATCTAAAATATACCAAAAGTATAAGAATTCAACATATTTAAAAATGTACCCTGATTCAATTTAATATCGTTATCCCAAATAGTATAAGTATTTACTCAAACAATAATAATTTTATTTTTTGATGGTCTACTAGGTTTAAGACTGAGATGCATAGACAGAGATCGTTATGATAACCTCACCATATATTTCAGCATCTCTCAACCCAGTCTAGGTCATCGTGTGAAAGATATACAACTTTAACGAGTCAAGAATCGAGAAAACACATTTTGTGGATCGCAATATTTTTTTATTTTTTTTTGGGGGGGGGAGGGGGGGGGATAAAAAAATAATTTTGGGGGGACAAAATTTTCAAACTAATAATTGTCAAAGAAGATGAAAGTACAAGTCCAAAGTCACATTGGGTCAAAAACACATTCACTAAACGAACATACTTTGCCAAACGGTTAAATTGCTAGTTTTAATTTACTTTTTTATTTTTGGAATAGTAATTGGAGGCTTGTATTAGTACATAATCATAAATTGTTTAGACTTTTTTTTTTCTTTTCGATTTCCTTCATACTCCCACTCCTGTAAAACTCCATCTGTTGTCGTTTCTCAGCAAACAGCTTCATGCTCATATTTTCTGCCACATCCAATGTTTCTATTTTTCTAGCGACAGGGGAGGAAATGACGTAGCTGCAATACCAGTGAGGAAACACTCACTCTCGGGCTCGGATGGCTTAGTGATTGTGGCTCCCCCCTTTCCAGGTTACGGCTACCCAGGATTTACACAAGTAACGCCACAGTACATTCCCTATGATCCCACGTTGGGATTACCCTCGGACAAATCTCTGGTAGGTTGGAAAGTGTGTGTTGTGTCTGACGGTGGTCGGTGGTGTGTGACAGTGGGAGGTGATGTCTGCCAGTGGGATGCGTTGTCAAACCGTGACAGGTGGTGTCAGACAGTGACGGTCGGTGTCTGATATCAACAAGTGATGTCTGACAACACCGGGTAACAGGTTTTGTCTGAAAGTGACCGGTGACGCCTGTCACATCTGTCCTAATTGGAAGTGTGCCGTCTGACATATTTGGCCAGATGGAAATGTGGTGCATTCATTTTGAGCCAAATTGAAAATGAGGTTTCTGAAAATGGAGGAGCTATTGAAGGCAAGGTGTATGACATACTGGGCCAAATTTGAAGTTCTGAAGTGTAGTTTGTTGCATATTTGGCCAGATCCGGAGAGTGGTGTCTGACATAATTGGCCAGGACGTACCTGTGATGTCTGATATATGAGGCGAAATTGGAAGTTTAGGGGTCTGACATTTTTAGTAACTGATATCAAGGGAAATGAACACCTGAAACTGAGGCACCATGCCCAGCGGGGGGGGGGGGGGGGGGGGGGGGGGGGGGGGGGGGGGGTTAGCGGTTTTCTGGTAAGAGTCAGTTGCAGAATTAATATCTATCAGGAGATCAAGAAGTGCTCCCTCATACTCATCAAAATATTGGACCATTTGCAGTCGTACAAGTCACTTAGGGGTCGTCCATAAAGTATGTCATACTCGGGGAGGGGGGTGTGCTAAAAAGGTGTGACAGTTGGTGACACGAGGGGTGGGTGGTTAGATCATATTATTTATCATACATATAAAAAGCTGAAATTGAAAAGGGATGTTTAACTTTCTGTTGTGCTGGATGTATTCTGACAGAAGATGTCACTTGGTAATGTCTTATTTTAATGGTCAATTGTGTTTGAGATTAATTTTTAATTAGCTGTTAATGTTTTAAATTATTTTTTTTAAAGTGTGACGTATTCGAATTTGTGACAAATTGTAATGGGGGGGGGGGGGGGTAAAAATATGGTCAAAAATAGCCTGAAGTACTTTATGGACGGCCCCTGGGTCCCTTTCTCAGTCTTATTTTAATGGTCAATTGTGTTTGAGATTAATTTTTAATTAGCTGTTAATGTTTTAAATTATTTTTTTTAAAGTGTGACGTATTCGAATTTGTGACAAATTGTAATGGGGGGGGGGGAGGTAAAAATATGGTCAAAAATAGCCTGAAGTACTTTATGGACGGCCCCTGGGTCCCTTTCTCACATAGACAATTTTAAGCAACCAAGAGCAAACAAATAAGAATACTACTCTTCTTGTAATAAAGTTTGTGAACTAATTAATTTTCACTGTTATTGACTAGCATAATTTTAGCAAGAAAATAACTTGCTTTAAACACGTGACTTCAAATCTGTAATCTAAGTATCACGTCTGACATGCGATCAAATAACCGAGCGTGCTTTATGGACGCTGTGGTGATGATGGCGTAACAGCTTAGGCATTGGAATTATCCTGGGCAGTGGATTCGGCACCCTGGACATGTCCAAACCCAAAATCTGACACCAGGACAGAAAATTTTGAGTAGGAAAAAAAACAAGAAATCAGTTGAGTGCAGGGTCCCCCAAGAAAATGTTATGCCAGGGGCCCTAAACAAGCTTGATTCCCCCTGCTGTCGCTTGAATTCCCTCCTTAGCTGAAAATGGCTAACGCCTAACGTATACTGTAGATGAAGGCGCTCATTTAAGCCCCACCCCACCCAACCGATGTCTTTCAAGTAAAAACACATTTTAAAAAATCAATAATGTATTACATGACACTATCAATATATAGCTCATCTTCTCCCCCCCCCCCTTTTTCTACCCTCATTTCACCTGTCAAACAGAGACGCCGTCATGACAGCAGGAATCCATACGAAAATCTCCAGCACCTGAGGATGAGGCATTTCATCATCTTCACGGCCATTTTGTTCCTGGTGGCCCTGATCGTCGTCATCTTCATAGCCGTCTACTTCGGACACGGGTTTGAGCCCAAATCAAACACTTAGCCTTCACTTGTGTAAGAAAGTCTCTATATGTATATCAACACGCATACACATGTAACAAATAAGCTTACTTCTGTATTTTATAAATGAAACGTGTTACGCCATCGGTTTAGTGAATGCAGCTGCACACGCCGATCGCACGCGGCTTTAAAGTCTTGCACTTGTGCCACCACAGTGCACGCTTGTTCATCATCATATGGTTTTAAGAGTGTAGTTTGAAATTCATTTTGTAAACTGTTTGAAGAAAATCCCTGAGGATGTTGATTCATGTATAGAGTTAAAAAGAAGAGCTTCTTTTTAGTACTAAAACCTTCATGTCTAAGGGTTCCCACAAGGGTGTCGGTGCAGAGGCGTAGCGAGGGTGTTTGGCGCCCGGGGACAAGATTCGCGCCCGGGGACAAGCTCAATTTTAAAGCGCCCCCTTTTCTTTTTTTTTTCAACTCTCAAACCCATTATTTTTACCAATAATATAATATCAAAGCACATTTTGGCGCCCCTATCTAGCCCCCCCCCCTGAGCCCTCCACTTCGCTACGCCTCTGTGTAGGTGACGTGACCGTGAATGTGAAATAGTCTGGTATTTTAAAATATTTTTTTTTTATCGAACGCTGTTATTTCTTTTTTTTTTCAACTCTCAAACCCATTATTTTTACCAATAATATAATATCAAAGCCCATTTTGGCGCCCCCATCTAGCCCCCCCCCCTGAGCCCTCCACTTCGCTACGCCTCTGTGTAGGTGACGTGACCGTGAATGTGAAATAGTCTGGTATTTTAAAATATTTTTTTTTATCGAACGCTGTTGTGCTGAATTTAACCTAGATGGGTGTGATGTATGAAGATCGTGCAATGCATGATGGAACCTGATACAGTTAACTCACTTCCTAGTGTTAATTCTTATAATGAATGAAAATCTTAATTAAGCTGCTTTAATACCATGAGGTATCAAATCAGTGATCCTCAACTCATGGCTTGATGGAACTGTTCAGCCAATATAGCCCTTTTATAAAACAAAAATTGTGGGAATCTCTGGTCTAAACAGTTGGACATGATCAACAGACCGTGACACATTGAGAGCGCTATCATAAGTAAAAAAAAAAAAAAAAAGAAATTTTTAAAATTTAAANCCCAACACGAAGTGTCCGAAGTTCTTTACCCCCCCCCCCCCAACCCCACAGTGTCACGTCACACCTAAAGAAATTCAAAACATACATAAACTTTTCATAACTAAACGAAGATTTTATTTTATTCTTTAACTTTTAACATTGTCCCATAATGGATTACGATGTAGTATTATTAGGAAACTGAGTTTCGTGGTACCTTTACTATAACACTTGAGGCAAAATCGACCTCATATTAATGTTTTAAAATTAATTAAATAAAGATTTTTTCACAATTAGAACATTTTAGATTTAGAAAAGAAAAAAAAAACGTGAGTCACAAATTTTTGACACTCACTCCCCCTGTCACAAATTCTCGACCACCCCCCTCCCCTTGAGCGTGACGTAATTTGCGGACGACCCCTAAGTGTTATTGTTTTTTTTCAGAGACCAGTTCTTGTTTTGTTTTTGTTTTTTTACTTATTGTATTGCTGGCAGTATTTTCTTTATCAACGGCTCATGGGACTATTTTAAGAAACTAGTCAGTGTCATGTAATATATTATGCTGGAGTTTACATTTTCCCCTGAAGTTGAATTGCTTGTAAAAGGAAATTAAACTGCATTCATTCGTGTAATAAATGTTTTACTTTTTATTTTTGTTGGAGACGTTGCAATGCGATTATGTGTATAATTTTAAACATGTATAACGTAATAATTAAGTGAACTTTTTTTTTTTTTAGATCTTTTGCTTGACTACTTAAGGGAGCCCTGTGCCAAGTAAAAGCGGTGTTCAGGGCAAAGCATGAAAATTCAGACCTCAATATACATGTATGTTTAAAAAGTGCCAGCCAAAGCAACACTAGGATCAAGGCGATTTTGGCACCCCTTGTCTTTGTACATGGGATTTGATGGTTTAATTCACTACTAGGGTCAGATCAAAAAACAATGTTGGCACCCCTTGTCTTTGTACATGGGATTTGATGGTTTAATTCACTACTAGGGTCAGATCAAAAAACAATGTTGGCACCCCTTGTCTTTGTACATGGGATTTGATGGTTTAATTCACTACTAGGGACAGATAAAAAAACAATTTTGGCGCCGCCTTAATGTTGGCAAACGGGGCGAGTGCCCTTCGCCCCCATACCTCCCTCCTCTTTCCCCACAGCCATAAATGTGCACATGTTCTTTGGACATTTACTAAAATGGAGTACATGTTATCTGTGATGTTCGATCCATACTCTAAATCTTTTTATCCATTTCTATTAATTAAAGCTGAATAAATAACAAACTTCATTCGTTTTGTTCAATTGATATGTTTAATATTTTGACTGTTCAATAACAAATATTCAACATTTCTTAATGGCATGAAATTAATTGTATTATTTAAAACATGGGTTCTAAACCATTGTACGCATGGGCCTTAATTGCACTGCTATTAAGTACATAAAAATAAAGGTGAAATGGTAAATTAAATCATGTCTTTATCCATATATATTAGATTGGTTCAAAATATCAAAGTCAGAAATATGTATGTGCTCCTAAATAATTTTTAATTCCATTTATCAGTAGTCAAAAAAATAACTCACATTAAAGTCTGAGTACATAATAGTAATAAATAATAATAAAGTTTATTTGAAAATTACGCTTCATCCCCAAAAGCTCGAAGCGCGGTACAAAGTCAACCATATAAAAAAGAGAAATAAAAAGCAATCTAAAATTTACCACATATAAAAAACAGACGCAACAATATAAAACTACATACGAGCAAACCAAGTCAAAGTCTTTCATGCCGTTTCAACCATAAGCAACACAAGCCAATACACATTAACTGAAAAAAGATGGTAGATATCAGTACGATTCAAAGGGTTTCAAGTTTTATAAGGCATAGCCCATTGACAAGTATATTTACATATTGTCTTAGAAATATACGCAATGTTAATGAAATTATTCCTGCAAATACAAACATGGAAATGAGCAAAACAAAGTATGGGAAAACCTGAAAAAAAGAACGTAACAGAACAACGAACGTGTCGGCAAGAAGCCTTCATCAGTGAACAAACAACAGTAAAAATAGAAATAAATAAAAATAGCACTGAAATGTAGTATCAAAGAGGACAGTTTCATGTGAAAATGAATTATGTATTTATTACTGAACAAAAATGAGTTGTTCTGTCAATTTCTTTAACTCTGTATCCCTCAACAGCAACTATATGTTAACTATCCATGTGTCACCCCAACACTATACTGTCCAAGGCTCCCAATTCAAAATTAACTTGACTGCCTTAACTTGACTGTCTCAACTTAACTATCTTAAATTGACTGTCTTAACTTGGCTGTTTTAACTTGCCAGCCTTAACTTGACAGTCTTAACTTGACGTCTTAAGTTGACCGTCTTAACTTGACTACCTTAACTTGACTGTCCCTACTCCAATGTCTTTACTCAGCTTGCCTTCTGTCTGTCATGCTAACAAAAGAAAACAAAAAAAAACAAACACCAACCTTTCTCCCCTAAACAGGTCATAACAAGATGTGCAAAATACAGCTAGGAACAAAGGACGAACGTTTTCTTGTGTCTCATCACAATACTAACCAAGATGCGCTCTTAAAACTCAGTCATCAAAATTGTGCTGCATGAAATTGTTTGTTTATTGTTGATGGTCTCACCAGTGCCATACATACACCGCATAGGTGACAGCAAAAGTTCAACTCAGTGAATGTGACTCCACATACTCTACAGTGGTGACAGCAAAAGTTCAACTCAGTGAATGTGACTCCACATACTCTACAGTGGTGACAGGAAAAGTTCAACTCAGTGAATGTGACTCCACATACTCTACAGTGGTGACAGCAACAGTTCAACTCAGTGAATGTGACTCATATCCTCGGGCCTGAATATTCAGGGACACCCCTTATCATAAATGGCTGCATGTTTTCTTTTGAAGTAATTACAACACTGGTATCTGTAGAAGTTTTTAATCACCAAGAGTATCATATCTTTTCTTCTAGGAAAAATCTTGTCTGTTCTTCACAATCTGAAAAAAATATATGACAATAAATTAATAAATAGGATTTAATTTCCACATGAAAAAATTATTTATTTGACTTTATACTGTCCATGATAGTACTATGGTCCATTAAATCTCTCTTTTATGTACAATGACTTAAAAATAAAATCTTTAAAACCTCTAGTTAGTACTCAACACAACGTTAAAAATAACAATGCAAAAATCCACTCCCAAGCCAAAAGAAAACTCCTTTTTTTTTTACATTTGGTGTGACAATTAAATTTCACCCTTTTGGTGACTTATTTTATTGTCCAGTAATTCTTCATTTTCTGAATGTTTGATTGATTGAATACTTATATAGCGCTAAGTATCCATGCTATTTTAGCATGCTGACTGCGCTCAGTGATGGCGCCCGGGCGTCGCAGGGGTTGTCGGAATGATTCATTGTTTGGATGTTTTGCCGCCTGTATGGGACGCCATCTCCAGGTTTAAATTTGGAGTTTCCTTCACTTAGATGAGTTGCCGACCAAGGTTAACGAGTCCCATCTACCCGGGGTGCTGGTGAGGTTGTTTTTTTTTTGCTTGACTGGGCTTTTGGGTGGAATTGAATTCCGACCATCAACTTGAAATTTGCTCAGTTTAGACCACTCGGCCCACCGCTGCCTCTTGAGTCCTGCACAGCACTGTAGGCTAATCCATTTTAATGCAACATATCTAGATACTAACTCACCTTTTATTGTATTCAACAGAGTTGCAATATCCTCAGACCACAGGGTTACCAGGTTTTCAGAGTTAACAACCTCCTTGTCCAGTATATTTTCCAGGTAGAACTTGCGTGACCAGTAACTGTAAATGTGCAATAGACGTTTTAAACCGAAAAACTAAATTAATGGTGTTTACTTTTAAATAGTTGTGTGCCTAAAACGATTTCTTTAATTTATTTTCTAAACATATGCTCTGCATAACATTTTTTACTTCATACATGATGTAACTGAAGTTCCTCTTTGTCTTACTTCCCAGTTGGACGTAGGGAAAGTTTTACTTTAAAAGTTACAATAAATAAACTTGTTTACAATGGCCTACATTTCACGTAGGTGCCTTTCAACTTCATCTAAGTGAAACAGCATAGAAGAAACTGGGGGAACGGTAGGTTGTCCTGTCATCATTAATTCAGGGCTGAGGGAGTTCTTATTGGACTTGCACAGATTGAATGCATCGGTCCTGGTTTTGTAGGCCAAGTCATGCTGTTCTTTGAAAATTAAGCTGCGAATACAAAAATGAATTTTGATGAAACAGGTGGCAGTGTGACATCACAGGTGGTTCATAGTTACACATAATGTTAACACTTTAATGAGAGCACTTACATGAGATCATTTAGACCATCTACTTTAGCATCAACCTCTGCCGATAGTTTAACCATCATTTTGGCTTGAACATCTGGAAAGACGGAGACGAGGGTCATGCCTCTAGTGTCCAGCTTGGTAAGCGACTCGTATAGCTCCAGAAAGTTAGCCAGAGATGAAACTTGCTTCCTGCTGTTAATCTCTGCAGTTTCCAAAAGTGGCAAACCTAGATGATTATAAATATTTTTTAGCAACCAACTCCAAGTTTAGCAATGCTTAAAATAAAATGTTTTCATCATACATTTCTTCTTGGATGCTAAATTAACTTAAAAATTTAAATTTTTTATTTCGAATTTCTTTTAAATAAAAGATTTTATTTGTTAAAAGCTCACATGAAATATTTTGTAATGAAAGAACTTTAGTTCACAGAAACGATTGTTCCTTTACAAAAATTAAAATGCAAGTATTTATTTATTTAGGCATTTTCATAAAGCTCTAAGCGCTTTACATTTATTAAAACATGTAAACTAAGTAAATACAAATGAGACACTAGGATAGTAACTACTATTCTATAGAAACAATGAAAATGGCTATAAAACGAGGACACTTTGACACTTCAGGATCAACCCGAAACAGAAAATGAGGTAGGGCAAGGAGGGTGCATCACAGGTCATAGGCGGACCTAAACAGATGAGTTTTAAGGGACTTTTTGAAAATGGACGAGGTTTCACTATGACGTATATGGAAGGGGAGCTGGTTCCAGAACGTGGGCCCATGGAAGCAGAAGGAGCGTTCACCGATGGTCTTAGTTTTAGTTCTTGGGATTGAGAGGGTTCTACTGTCAATGGAAGAACGTAGTTGTCTTGTGGGGATGTAAGGAAGCAACAGTTCAGAGAGATAGACAGGAAAGTGAGGGTCAGTGAACGAGTTGAAGCAAAGATTGGCAGACTTGTATTTGATGCGAGAGGATATTGGAAGCCAGTGGAGTTGCCGCATGTGTGGTTGAATGTGGTCATGTTTCTTTGATTTAAAAATGAGTCTGCATGCTGAGTTCTGTGCCTTCTGGCAAACGTGTCAAGCTGACAAAGTTATGAAATGAGCATGCCATTAGCCTTCATGTCCACAAACTGAAACTTAAAAGCAGACACGATGCACCATTTTAAAATGTCTGCCAGGATTCAAAGATCTCAGATCTTACCTGCAATTAATTTTTTAAAGTACTTGTGTAATAAACGCTTCAGTGCAAGAGTACTTTTATTATCGCTGGGGGGTGCATTGTCCATCTCCAATTTGACTAAAAAAGATCAGAAAAAATGTAGACAACAGCTACGTAAACTTGAACCAGGATAGTTTACATTACACATAGTGAGAGAAAAAAAAACAGACCTTCATCAGGTGCTTAAGCATTAACAAAAGCTTAATACTAAAAATAAATCACAATCAATACATTTTATTTACAAGCAAATATTGTGATTTCATATTATTTCTCAAAAATCTAATATCATTTTTTTTTAAAATTCCCTAACTAGCCCTTTTTAAAAAAAAAAAAAAACATTAAAATAGTAAATGGACTGAAAAAAGATAAAATATGTGCTACTCAAAATGCCTCAACATTTGATCTGTTCACATAGCTTTAATTGACATTTGTCCACTGTATGTTCAACATGCATGTGACGTACCCCATCCTCCCCCTTTTCGGCTAGGCCAGTGGTTCCTCAAATTTTTTTATTCCCGGTGCTTATGACAAATTTAGTTTTTCACCAGGCGCCTTTGTTAAATTCTAACAATTACAATTTAAAATAGTGAATACATTAAAAATAAAATAAAGGGCTGGTTAAAAATCTAGTAACTGCAAACAGTAGTCACTCAACTTTTTGCTTAACAACCGCTAGATATCACATTAAAATAAAAGGGGAAATAAAATTATGAGGCAATATTTTGAGGCAATCCTGTAAGGAAACCAAAGCATGCCGAGGAAATACGGCACCTGGGGACAAGTTGAAAAATGTTGCCACTTAATATATGGAAAAAATGCCCATTATTAAAAAATTCTACAATATTCATCTCGAAACTCTGAAAGTCCAAAAATAGACTAGCTAGCAGTAGTAGAGAAGAACTTGGGTGCTGGGTGGCTGAGTGGTGTATACTGAGAAAATCTCAAGTTGGTGATTTGGAGTTCAATTCCAGCCATAGCCCAGTCAAGCAATTACACCACCAGCACCCCGGGTAGATGGCAACTCATTTAAGATTTAAGAGAAGGAAACTCTGAAATCAAACCCGGAGATGGAGTCCCGAATGGCGGATAACATTGGTATGATGAAACATTCCGACAACTCCTGCGATGTCACTGGTGCCAAGCTGTATCATCCAATGATGCCCCCTTGGGTTATCCAGCGGCGTGGAGCTTTCCATGTGGATTTCGTCCTCCGAAGCATATTCCATCGTGCCAGTGGTCGGCAAACTCATTAACTATTAACAAGCTGTAAAAATATAGCAGCTGTTGCTTGAATATAGGATAAGACTAGTAATAAGAGTCTGATTTTTTCCGTCCCAGGTATGAAATTCAATGAATGACGAATGCATGATAAATTATGTCTTTTAGACACCTGTTAATAATTGGCTGTTTATTATAGTTACAGTGAAATAGGGTTCAGGTTAGGCATAGGGATCGATTTAGGGTTCAGGTTAGGAATCGATTTAGGGATACATTCGTAAAATTCGATAAATAATGGCATTCGTCCTCATGTAATTTACCTAATAACTAATAATTTAGATTTAGTGTAAGGAGAGGAAGGTGGTCAAGATTTTCGGTTTCAATACTAAAAAATATTGTAAATTTTCAAAAAAATTGAATACATTTACTTACACATTTAAATTTAATTTATGACGTATAGATTTTAAAGATTGACGTCAGTGTACGTCAGGATAAGTTCACCATTGATTTAATATAGCTAAACCAGTTAGTGAAATTAATTCAACCAGACCTGTTTACACGGAAGTAGCCTAATTGGGGATAATTAATATCGTAAATTCAAAAGCCCAAAAAATATTTCAAAGACTTTAAGTTATGTAAGACTAAGTTTTTTAATTATATGAAAAATTGTAATCTGATATTTTTGTGCAACATTATATAGAAGTTTAAATACAATAAAATAAAATTTTCAATTAAATAAATAACAAAATGATGTGTATTACTTTTTATGTCGTAAAATACGTTTACCTGGTTGACACTTGCACTTGTATTATTATTGAACTGCCAATAACTTATAACTCAACCAATCGTGAAAACCAAGAAAGTCATCCAGCCTTCGTTAGACTTTCTATTTAGAACATCTGTGATATCTACTACTATTTGTGGTTTTCATATATTGCCAATTAATTAATATACATGCTTATAAACTGAAAAACATTATGAAATGGGTTCGAATGGTCTGAATGGATGATTATTATAATTTAAAAAAAAATAAAAAATTGTATGATTATGATTATGAATTAAATAGAAACATTCTGATTCTCGCATGTAGCTACACAGTAACACACTCTAGTTCACTATACTACTTGACTTTGTAAATGTAGCTGCTAGTGTGTAAGTGTATCAGTATCAGTTATTGCATAACTTCATTTGCCTGGAAGTTAATGAAGTTATTAACAAGTTTAGTTTAACTTTGGTCCTTGCCGTTGGATCCTCTATGACTATGACTATGAAAATGAATGGGTAATGCCAGTAATGGGAAATTACTTGACTTATATTAATACTTATAATGATTAATGATAATAATATTATAATTATTGAAGTTATTGCATTGAAATTTATTGTTGCACTTATGCTCTAAATTTGATACCAATGCTGTATTACTTAATTACTACATTGCATTAATAATAATTAATAACAGTAATTAATAGTGAATGAGTAAAAGCCATATATGCTAAAGGCTCTTTTATAGTCTATAGTGGCCAAAAGTAATCTTAGACAGCATTGTAGAACAACATTTTTGAAAGATGACTGGCAACTCTATAGTGAATGATCATGGGGATGATAATAATGCTGATCCAAATGTTACGCCTACCACTAAACTGAGCTTCACAGACCACTACCTTGGCCTTGATGATCCTGAAGTCGAGGCAAACAACAAATTTCAAGATGATGCTCGGGATTTTAATCTGACAGACACCATAGCTGCTATAATCTCAGCCGTTTTGGCTGTGGTCTTTTTAATAATGGTGGTGTGCCTTATTCAAGTAATAAAAAAACGAAGAAGAGAAAGACAAGGAAACAGGCTCAATCGACCCATTATACACACCATAACGCCACCGACATTTGGGGCGAGTAAGTATTTTGTTTTGTGTGAATGTATGCAGTACTGGAATTGAAAGCAAAAATAATTTTTGGTATCAGAACTTACTTCTGTCAATATGTTTGGTATTAGCTTAGTTACATTCTTTAGCATAGAAATAAGTAATTAACTGGAAGAAATTTGTGCGAAAAAACAAAAAACTTCAAAAATTGACAAAGGTGGCCCTATGGTGTAATCAAGGGTACTGCAAAGCATATCCAGGAGCTGGGGTCATTTCAAACTACGGACAAGTACAGAAGCTGCCAGTTGAAATGGACTTTACAGGCCAATTTAAGTAGCTTTAATGGGGCAGGGACGGGCCCAAAATTCTTAACATTTTTACAATTTAATTTTAAAACTGAAATGAAAAAGTAAATAAAAAGTTGAATATTAACAGGTTAGCAAGGGTGTCCTTAAGGATAGGCAGCTTTAGAAAGAAAAGGGAGAAAAGTCATGTTAGTTTCACCTTATCATTTGAAGATGTCTAACTATCAAAGGATTTTTTTGCAATTCATATTCATCAAAGTGAAAGTCAGTTAATAGAATTTTTTTACAATTTTTCTTTTGGGATGTTTTTGGTGCTTTTGATTTTTTTTATTCCAATAAAAGGAATTGAACTATATATTTTAAAAATCAACAAAAGAAATATTAGGTGCACTCACTAAATGTGACTGAAAAATTTTAAAAGAAAACATAGGTATTTAAATTTCCGAAAATCCTCAAATTTAGGCCCAGCTCCCATTTCTAGGAATTTAAAAGAAGTTTTACATTTCAGTGACAGATTCATGTAGTCAAATATTCAAATATGTTTAAATATTAAATTCATGATTGTTCCATTTAAGGACAAACATACTTTTGACTATTTTACCAGCTTTTAAGGCTTATAAACTCTTATTTCTGAAAGTTACTTTCACGTTAACAGTTACCTTTACCTGTTCTCTCAGATGTAGGTGCCTACAGACATGTGCCAGCCTCAACCACTTTTAGCTGGGAGAGCATTACTGACAGTCAAGCCCCTATACCTCACTCAGAATCTCTTGATGAATCACTTTCAGCAAGCCAGCCATCCGAGAGACTATCTTATGCATCAACATCATCTGCCACGGTGCTGGTCACAGCCATTCTTCACCATCACCCCTGCTCCTCATCAACATCAGAAGCACATATAACAAATGAAGGTTATGATTCTTCCATAACCTCAGTGCATTTAGCCAACACCCAGCAAAAGTTAGCACAATGTAAACCTTCATCATCTGCCTACTCATCCACAGCTTCTGTGCCTTCATCAAGTCATCAAGCTAATCAATCCAGTGGAAACTCACTCGATTTTTCAATGGAACCGTCAACAAGTTATGGCTAGTCTGCGATTCAGTAATTCCTGAGGTCTTTACAACGTCTTCTCCATTTAAGATCATCAACTTGAGGACTCATAGTTGACTTGGCAATCAGTGGATGTTATTCAGTAATCAAAATAAGTGACAGTGACAGTCAATAATTCATGAGGTCTGAAAAGTTGCTCCTAAATTTAAAATTATCAACTTGAGGGGTTATACCTGACTTAGCATTCTGGGGATGTTATTCAATCATTCAGTAAGCTAAAAAAAAAAAAAAAAAAACCTTAATATGTTTTAACCTGTACCTTACAAAATTAGTGCACAAGTTGTGATATGTTTTTTCTTTCTTGAAGCAATAGTTTCAATTATCTTAAATGCAGCTTACTGCAAAAGGCACAAACCTTTTTTGAAGGTGTTATTTTAAATTGTCAATTAAAATTTTTATGATATGGTTTCATGTGTTCTTTTGATAATAATTTTTAAAATTCTACTTTCCCCCACCCCAAACATCATTTGGTGTCATGTATTTCATGTGATACAATATGTTATTTTCAAAATAGTATTTACTTGCTGTTCATGTATAGATATTTCTGTTTTTTTAAACCACTGTGATTCATATTTTAACTGAATGAATATTTTTTTTTTTCGGTCTCTGGAAATCAGTACAAAACCAATTTGTTTGAAGGAATGTTGTTCAAACACAAGTTAATTGGAACAGAAGTTAATTCACAATGAAATTTGTTCAACGGAGATGTTTTTTAAGGGAAGGTGCACGTGAGAAGTGGGGAAAATGTACCCTTCTTAGCCTTTTTTTTTCTGCTTCTCTCCACCCCCTATCAAAATTACAGTACCAAACCCTTCTTATGTACAAAAAAATCTCTACCCCCTCCCTCCCTCTCAACACCTGTTTATAATTCTGTTTGTGAGTGGCCACAACTTGGCAAATGTTATAATAGGGGTCAGGGCGCTAAAAAGGTTGAGAACCACTGGGTTAGGATTAATATATTATTAAGCTATTATTGCATTAGGGTTAAGAAGATTTCAACTTTGATGTCTTTCTGATTGCTACTGGTTCTATAAATGCATTTTTCACTTCTCCCCAAACTGCGAAACACATTATAAAAAATTAAAAGATAAGTCTTCTCTTTGTAACATCCGGACTCGGACCGACTGGGCTGTGCGGAAAAAAAAAGCCCTTGGCTCAGGCCTAGTTTTTACTGTTATTTCACTCGGAACAATCTTCAGTTGAGTAACTCCCGTTCATACTACATTCCTTCTTACAAATTGATTTTGAACAAATAGGTTTCATACTAATTTCCAGATCCATTTATTTTTCCCGCTGAGCTAATATTTCTTCTTGATGTTGATTCATAAATGGCTTTTCATAATGGCCTATATTGTGAGCCTTAGACATTCCATCATTATTTGATTGATATTTTCTGGTAGATATATAGCAGCAATCAAATGCAGTGTTTATTAAGTTAGCTCATATGCTGTTCCCTGGCATTGCTCAGATGCAGAACGGTGACTTAAATTTTTTTTTTTATATACTTTGGTATATTTTTTAATTTAAAAAAAATTCAGTTAAGCAATGTATAAATTGTATGTAGCATCAGTAGAGGATAATTTTTCAGAAGCGTCATCTGGTTGTGTATCATTTTTTTAATGCTATAAATTTCCAAGAATTTCGAGTTTCTTGGAAAGGTTACTTTATATCCTCAATAGTGTTTGTCCGCTTTAAAAAGTACAAGAAACAATTATAAAATTAGAGTTCAGAGGTTTTCAAGGATCATTTAGTGCAACATTTATTTGTTATCGAGCTTCAAATGTGAATTTAATCATACAGAGGCATTAGGGTGAAAAGATTTAATTATTCTTCTCAGGATACAAGTTTAAATTTATTGAAAACTTTTTGAAGTATACATAGTTTATGGTGTAAACTGATAAGATCATTTTTTTTTTTATAAAAGGTTTACTTAATAAAAATGTTTTATAACTTATATATATAACTATAATATCAATCTACAGTTTGACTAAATCAGATGTTTTACAATAATTTTTATTTTTTCATTTAAAGAATATTCAAGCAGTGTACCACTTCATGATTGACTATTATATTGGGCTCCCTGATTCAAATTTCTTTAATAATGTAAGATGTGAAAAAATAAAATATAAACATGGGAAAGGTGCTATAGTGCAGGGTTTCTCAAACTTTTAAGTTTGGAAGTTGCATCACGGACTGGTGCCAGGTCTATTAATTAAATTATCTTCTTATTTGACCATAAATATTTATGTTTAATGGATCAGCAATGTCTGGGGACCACCACTTGAGAAACACTACTGTAGTGTGCATGCATCTTCTTATGTGTTGCTAACAGTAGTATCACTGCCCAAATTTTCAGTGAAGATGTTTTTTTCAAAATTTATACTGTGATTACTCAAATGTACATCAGACATTCCCCAAGCATGTAGAGCTTTGCCTTGCGCACAGAGAATTGGAATACAAGAGAAACACTTTTCAAGTGTTTTTTTTTTTTTTTTAGAAATCTGAGAAAGCCTAGTTTTGCTGAACTCAGCCATCTAGTGTGGCCCTTTCACCCTCAAAGATTGTAGGGGAAAGGTTTCCATTCTGTTTCTCTGCATGTGTGAGCAAGTTCTTAGATTCAGTCGCACATTAAAAAATTGAAAAAAAAAAAAAACACTTTTCAAGTGTTTTTTTTTTTTTTTTAGAAATCTGAGAAAGCCTAGTTTTGCTGAACTCAGCCATCTAGTGTGGCCCTTTCACCCTCAAAGATTGTAGGGGAAATGTTTCCATTCTGTTTCACGGCATGTGTGAGCAAGTTCTTAGAGTCAGTCGCACATTAAAGGCTGGCGTCAAACTCTATGTTTGAACAGGAACAAAATTATCTGAAACTGTTATCCCCCCCCCCCCCCCCGCCCCCAAACCACTACCCTGCATAAATTTTTACAAAACTCTTAGTAAAATTTACCACTATTAGACCTGTTAATGTCAATAGTTGATATGTTATTAAATAACGTACCTATTGAAATATTTTAATTGCCAAATATTAAATAAAATTTTTTTAGTTAAACAAAGAGGATGAATTCATATTACTAGCCACTCATCAGACACTTCTCACCAGTGGCAAATCATGTTCTTTCAAAATGAATCGAAAGGTGTCTAACATAATTCTTTACCATTGAATAAATTTTTTTATAAACTTTGTAGCTTAGTAATGTGATGGCATTTAGTTAATATTTGTTGTTCGGCTGTGGGTTTCACTTTACGATACTTTTTATTATCAGTTGTTGTTTTTTTTTTAAACCTTGGTATCGGTTTACAGCACTAGTCATATGTAAATGACATTTTTTTTTTAATTTCTCTTTTGATTTATCTACCCTAAGATTTGCATGATGTATAGAAGTTGTTTTTACATCTGAGCTATAAATATTGTTTTGAAAAGTTAAACACAAAACAGCAGCTCTGCTTTAAGTTACTTCTAAAGGGTCAGTAATTGATTACAGGAGCACTGGTTGAAACTACTGCCATGGTCAGTATGAGTTCTACTGCTTTTCCTGTAAATGGACTCAAGTTTTATTGCACAAGTTTTCATCAAACATTTATACATTTATATGATTATGTTGTTGTGCTTTTTAAAAAGGTTCTTACGTATTCTTTTGACACAAAAAAAAAATTAGAAATATCATTGGTTTGGTAAAAAGTCATTTATAATTTCAAATGATAATCAAAACTAGTAAATATAAATGTAGGATTACTTTGTTACTATTGTTTTTTTTAAGTCCCTTTTCATACATTGCTGAGCACAATATGAAAAATGTGCTTCGTTACTTTCTCTCAGGGCTCAAGTCTGAAGTAAAGTTAAGTTCAAATATGAATAATAAATTAAGTTTTGGCTATTAACCCTGAAATTATTATTTTTTTTTTTGCATAGTGATTTATAGAAAAATTAATATTTGAAAATAATCTTGCTTATTTAAATTGAGCCAGGGTTGGGATTTTAGGGACAAATCCCCCCCCCTTCCACTGAATTTCACTCTCGCCTTCCCATTCCCAATAAAAGACACACAAATAAATATATTAATAAAGTAAACTAACACATTTACCATTCAGAAAAATTTTAAGAAATAGTTCATTGTAAAATGACCTGGACATCCCCCACACCCCTATGGGGCTGAGCCAACATTTGTTCATTGCCTCAGTCAATTATTTCCTGTACTTTAGCCCCTCATCCTGTTGTCTGGAGTTGAAAACTCTTCAGAGATGTTTTGTCATATAGGCCATTGATACTTATTATCCCAAACCACCGTTGTCTTTCGACACATGTAAATGATGAATCTGTTGGACTAACACAAGTTATATTTTCAACTCATCCAGTTATTTTACAGTTATTTCAAATCTTCAACATGATTTTATCTTAACGCTGTGCTTTCTGCTAGTCTTATCTTTTCCTACACCATGACCACAATCCCAGCATGCCTTCATCTTATAGCAATCTGTTAAATTGATATATCTGTGCATGTAAATACAAACGATTTTATTTTGTTTCCATCTCCATGTCTTGCAGTGGCATTAAGTGTATTTGGTAGCATTTGTCCATTTCTGTATCCATAAACCTAATTTTTGTGTTCATTTTAAAAAAATACACTTTGTTATATTAAAATATTATAATTCAGAATCTCAAACATTTAGTGCCGGTACCAGATAGCTATAAGATAGATTTGTTTGTCATCAGACAATTGTTAAAGTTGATGGAAACTTTATGGTGAATATACTGTATGAGCTGTATTGGTGAATGTATCAAGCCTGTGTAATGAAATGTTCATGTTGTGAGCAATGGCGTACCCAGGGGGGGGCTTCGGCCCGATCGGCACTTTTAAAATTTATTTTTTCAGCTAACTGCAGAGTTTTTTTGTTTTTTTACCCGCTGCCGGCGGCACTAACCCTAGCTACACCACTGCACTGGTTGTGAGAATGCAATGTGATATAACAATTGGATTGCACAGCCCCAATTAATATTTATGGATCTTCAGAGTGATCGCCATGTTACTAGTCTCGCACAGTTCCTTCATGTTCTTAATCTATCTGATCTAGAAATTAAATTGAATGAAAGTGATTGAATTGATTTTATGTCCCTGTTATTAAAATCACTGAACTAAATGAATAAGTTTTATTTTATTTCATGATGAAGTTATGGTATTTTATTTCTATCTTGAATTTGATAAATTGGAATGTAATACTGCATGGATTTCTTTTGATTAATTTTAAAATCCTTTCTGTTGCTTTAATTACGTGTTTAAGAATGTAAGACTTTTTTTTAAATAGATATATATATAGTATGATGCAGGGGTGTCTACACAGGTTGGGGGGGGGGAGCGATTGCTTCCAATCTGAGTTGAGAACTTTTTTTTAAATAGATATATATATAGTATGGTGCAGGGGTGTCTACACAGGTTGGGGGGGGGGGAGCGATTGCTTCCAATCTGAGTTGAGGAATAAATACTCCCCCTCCCCTTTTCCACCCTGCTTTTATAATTTCTCCTGGCGATAAAATTAATATAAGTAATGATAAAAATAAATATACTCCTATACTTTTTTATTAGTATTTATTTATTTTTTTTAATTTTTGTCAGGTGGAACAAAAAATATTTCAGTGGTCTGTCTTAGGCTGGTAATTGAATTCCAATTACCAAGTATGGAATGACAGAAGTATATGTTATGAATTTTAAAGAATTAAAACTAAAATGACAGTAATAGGCTTCCAAAATTCATTTATTTTAAAGCTTTTCTAGAAATTGTAAATCCTTTGTATTCAATGGTGTAATAACCTCCCCTTAAAGCGGCGGTAATATTGCTGCGGTTACTTCCCTTTGATCGTAATGATTTATTTTGTTAAATGACCACTATAACCCTGCAGACCATCAGTTTTCGACCTTTCTATTTACCCGGTTCGAATTATCTGGGTCAAATCTTCTCATCAATTTTTCAACCCATCTTCCGGTTTTCTAAGTTTAATTGCACAAAATATTTGTCACACGATTAGGGATCCCAGCGAGCCTTAAGCATAGGCTAATCGTTTACCGATATATAATTAAACAGCCTATGCAGGGGAGTACAGAGGAAAAGCGGCCCCCGGGGCGGACCAGTTAAAGTCATATCTAAAGACGATTCACCACTCCCCTTGTTTAAATACATAATAATTGAGGTCATATCTAAAGAGTATTTAGACGCCCTCCCCCCCTGATGTTGGCGCCCGGGGCGAGTGCTTCCTTTACCCCAAACCTTCCATTTTCATTTAAGCAACAGCTGTTTGTAAAGAAAACCTATAATTTCAAAGGTCCAAACTTCACAACAACGTCTGAACTGGACACTGTATTCTCTCATCCACCAGTCGGGCGATCAACCTTGTTAGCTTCAGTCTACACCGATGGCGTTTTCACAGGGCTTGCCAAAGAAATATTGCAGGGCGCCACAAGAGGGAGAAGAAGAGGAAGACAAAGAAAAAGATGGGAGGATAACATCAAAGAGTGGACAGGACTAACACTGGGCGATGCAGTGCGTAGTCCTGAAGACAGAGGAGAATGGACGAGGATGGTTCACATGTCATCTGTGGCGCCCCAACGGTCCAAGGACTAAGGGACATGAGGATGAGGAGGAGGACACCGATGGCGGCTCGTCCCAGCCTCTTGCTAATTTCTAATAAGGTAACACAGCCAAAGGGATGACATTAACAAAAATGTATTGAAATTAAACTTTTAACTGTGGTGATTATTGAAATGTTTCTAGAGTTTACACTGTACCGGAGCTTAAACTATCTTAATATATATTTCGCCAGCTAAGGTCAAACACCACTACCACCACACAGGTTATATAGATAATGAGTTCACTAGCGCGCAAAATATAATTCCCGATAACTGCGCTAAATCATTTATAATTTTTTTAAAAACGCAACTTCGTTTGGTGCGTAATATTTTTCGCTAAGTGAAATCGTCTCATGGTGTAAAAAATAGTCAGTTTATAAGTGTTTGGGACATCAGAATATTTAATATAGTTCATGTGCGTGAAAAAAAAAATAGTGTGCAGTGACGTAATCATTGGGGGGGGGAGGAGGGGGTATAGCAAAAATTGTTATTCATAAATGTGCGATACTTGAGTTCATGTTTTGTCAAGTAACTTTAGTAGATGGGGAAGGTCACGCATTGCTGTCGCCAATGTTTGGCGGGCTATATCTAGTGTATTCATAAAAGGTAAAATTTAGAGGTAATCTCTAAGAAAGTCTGCATGCCATGAGTTGCTAAATTTCAACAACTGAGTTTCTTTCAATGTTTACATCTATTATTTAAATTTGTCTGGGTCTTTCTTTTCCGCGCAGGAAGCTTTGAGCCAACCGATTGGGTTGATTTTGTTTTAAATTGTTTACCTTTGACTTACCGCAAACAATTTATTTTCTATCACCATTACTCAGTACTGCCACCACTCAGTACTGCCACCACTCAGTACTGCTACCGCTCAGTACTGCCACCACTCAGTACTGCCAATAGTCATTAATGCCACTACTCATTAATGCCACTACTCAGTACTGCCACTACTCAGTACTTCCACTACTCAGTACTGTCACTGTCATCAATTTAAACCGATCTTTGATGAAAAACGCGCTAGTTTTAGCGGCTTATTTTCTTTCACCTTTATGTCTCCCCATTTCCCATGACTATGAATTTGGTCTGGATAAAATGCGATAGCGGTTTGGTATAATTTAGAATTTATTTTTGTTCCCATCCAGTTCGAATGTTGGGTAAAACTAAAGACCTTGCATGTCCCGTTTTTAAATCCCCCAACTCAACCCTTTTCTTTGCGCGGGAACCGAAATGTCGCTCCTAATATGTGCCACCCCCGCGCAATCCCACCCCCCCCCGCCCTTATTCCGACGTTAGTGGGTCATTCACGTTGTTTTTAGATACCCAGGAACTTCTAGACAGGGGGGGGGGGGGGGGTCCGCCCCGGGTGACATTCCCCCCCCCACATATGTAGAGGGGCGGAATTTTCGGTCTTCTGCCGGAGTCTTTTTGTAGGAGGGGTGGACAAAAGCTTGGACCCACCAGCGTGGCACGAACACGTAGCTACACCGCTATGTAGTCGTGAGAGTCGTCCTCAAGATGTGAGAGTCGTCGTCAAATGTGAGAGTCGTCCTCAAGATGTGAGAGTCGTCGTCAAATGTGAGAGTCGTCCTCAAGATGCGAGAGTCGTCCTCGCTTAATAAATGTGAAACTTGTGATGTGCACGATGCGACAGCTCACAATATTGTTAACTTTTAGAGCGATTCACTATAGTCAATTAGTTATTCAATGGTATGTAATACTTTCTTTTTTGATTCCCCCCCCCCCCTTTTTTTTCCAACATCACAACTTTAGACCCCATAATTATCGGAGCCCCCCCCCCTTATAACAGCTGCAGAGGTTGCAGGGCCCCACGTGACGGCTCTTGTTATGAGGCATGCTATTTGAAACATTTTTGACACATTTGAACTACCAATAGTATTATTGATAAGCTATTTGATTACTACTCCGGCATTCTGAATTGAAACTGCTGCACACCGCAGTCGGAGGCTAGTGTCGAATGACGCAGGGCCACCTTCAATGTACCACAACGACACCCTACAGCTACCAGCTAATGTGCACTGACACAACACCAATTTCGTTGTAATATATTATAACTAAGCACTGTCCATCATGTGTTTGTTTATTGAAACGGTGCCAAATTTCATAGTATACGTAAGTCGATTAATTTATTACTGGGCAAAGTCCCACAAGACTCGGTCCGTTTTATTAAGAAGTTGCTACTTTAAATCAGGCCCGCACAACTCAAAATGTAAGGCGGGCCCGCACAACTCAAAATGTAAGGCGGGCCGTGATACATTATGAACAACTTGTGCGAGCGGAAAGATAAAATAACAGGGGGTCAAAGCTATTTAGAAAATAATAAAAAATAATTAATATTTCCTTACTTCGCGCACCGCCAAATGGGAGCTGGCGGGCCGCACGCGGCCCGCGGGCCGTATGTCGTGCAGGCCTGCTTTAAAGGAATATAGCATTGTATCAAATTAATCCAGCTTACTGATACTATTATTAGCGCCATTCCTTCAGTAATAAGGTAATAATGGTCGTGGGGGGGGGGGGGGGGGGGGGGGGGGGGGGGGGGGGGGGAGTTCCTAATCAATATTTTAAAATGTTTCAATGCAGGGCTCTATTTGTATGTTGCCATTCCAAGATTTGAGACAGGTCGGTGTGTTTGATCTTTTCGTTTAAATTTTCAATGACCGCGGGATTAAAAGTATGGAGAGCATGGCGATAAGAAAATACTTAGGTGCTAAAAATAGATCAAGCGCTTAGGTGTGATACCAACAAAGAAGAAATGGAAAATGTCCAGCTGGCAATGGCTCTTTAAATGGGTCCCGCAAGTTTATTACCGGCCCCAACACTGTTGGCTCAAATCAAATCACTGGTAGCACGAGCCGTTCATATTGGCCATGTGTTTATTGCCCAAACCCCAGAGAGGGAAAATAAGAGGAGCGGTGTGTATGGGTGGGGGGACTTTCAACAAATCTTATCTTATTTAAAAGTATTTTTGATGACTAATCTTATAAAAGAAAAAAAAAATCAATATTGTCCATTTATTCCCACTGCCGATTGATATTGTTATATAAGTCACAGCTAATAAAAAAAATTTTTTGTTTTAAACTTGAAGAATTGTGACAAAATTCCAACAGGCTCTAACCACACTGTGTTATCGATATTTCCGAGAAACGGTAATCACATCGGGAAAACGTCATTCACTTGCTTGGTATTGAAAGGTGAGTAGGTATAAGCTTACTCTAACTAATGTAAGGTCAGTAGTTATGGGCTTACTCTAACTAATGTATAGGTCAGTAGTTAAGGGCTTACTCTAACTAATTTAAGGTCAGTAGTTATGGGCTTACTCTAACTAATGTATAGGTCAGTAGTTAAGGGCTTACTCTAACTAATTTAAGGTCAGTAGTTATGGGCTTACTCTAACTAATGTATATATCAGTAGATATGGGCTTACTCTAACTAATGTATAGATCAGTAGATATGGGCTTACTCTAACTAATGTATAGATCAGTAGATATGGGCTTACTCTAACTAATGTATAGATCAGTAGATATGGGCTTACTCTAACTAATGTATAGATCAGTAGATATGGGCTTACTCTAACTAATGTATAGATCAGTAGATATGGGCTTACTCCAGCTAATGTAAGGGGCAGTGTACAGATTATAAGATTTTTACCCAACCCCCAAAAAACCCTTATAGCATTATATTGTATAACATTTCTAGCAAGCCCCTCCATACTTTCCATTTTTTTTTTTTGTAAAATAAATAAAACAAAACCCAGATCAAAAAAGTTGGTACTACAAACATTTTGTTTAGATCATGTTTATTTTTTCTAAACTGTCCCTGTTAACCGAATAATGATTACACGGACAGTCCTGCAAGTCTCCGGGAAAGATGTTTAAAGACTAGAAATTACGACCTACAATTAGAGATAAGAATCCTTTTTTTTTTTTTTCCAAAATAATGATTATTACTTCTCTATTGCATTATATAATATGTGGTCGTCCTCTAAAACTTCGAGACTGTTAGCAATTATTTTTCCCATTCCTTGTAAGAACTTTTTCTAAAATAGATCAACTTTAGGATAGTCCTCACTAATTCCGACTATTTTATGTACATTTCTTTACATTGGGTAAGCTCCTGGTCAATTTTAAGTTTGAACCTCCATGACATCCCTTTACATGTCTTGACATGACATCCATGTAGTCTACATACCTTGACATCCCTGTAGACTACATCCCTTGACATCCCTGTAATCTACATTCCTTGATATCCCCGTAGACTACATCCCTTGACATCCCTGTAGACTACGTCCCTTGACATCCCTGTAGACTACATCCATTGACATCCCTGTAGACTATAACATGTCTTGACATCCCTGTAGATTACATGTCTTGACATCCCTGTAGATTACATGTCTTGACATCCCTGTAGACTACATCCCTTGACATCCCTGTAGATTACATGTCTTGACATCCCTGTAGACTACATCCCTTGATATCCCTGTAGATTACATGTCTTGACATCCCTGTAGACTACATCCCTTGACATCCCTGTAGATTACATGTCTTGACATCCCTGTAGACTACATCCCTTGACATCCCTGTAGATTAAATGTCTTGACATCCCTGTAGACTACATCCCTTGACATCCCTGTAGATTACATGTCTTGATATCCTTGTAGATTAAATCCCTTGACATCCCTGTAGACTAAATCCCTTGACATCCCTGTAGACTACGTCCCTTGACATCCCTGTAGACTACATGTCTTGACATCCATGTGGACTACATGTCGTGACATCCCTGTAGACTATAACATGTCTTGACATTCCTGTAGACTACATGTCTTGACATGCCTGTAGACTAATTGTCTTGACATCCCTGTAAACTTCATGTCTTGAAATCCCTGTAGACTACTTTTCTTGACACCCATGTAGACCACTTTTCTTGACACCCATGTAGACCAAATGTCTGACATCCTTGTAGACTGCATGTCTGCCAATGACTTATAATTTGATCACATAATCTTACCACCTAAATTTAGCATTCAGATTAATCGAGTGCTCTTATCTTGCACTTAGTTTTGTTCTATTCCCTGACACAATGTAGTGACATCGTGTAGGTTTCAACATGAATTGTTTTGCTGGTATGCCATCATCTTTTGCATCCTTTCTTCGTGGAACTTCCTTTTGCTTATTTTTCATCTTCATTTAAATATGACCACACCAATCAGCAAATTCAGTTGCTTTGTTCTAAAACCGTTCAAATTTATTTGCTCTGTTCTCCATCCGTTCAAATTCAGATGTCTCAGGCAAAGTGGTGAAATCCAGGCATTCTATAGAACAATATTTTTTTTTAGGCCTTCTCAACATTTTTATGTTAGTCCCTTGTTGTTTACTGTTTATTTTTTTTTAAAGTCAAATACCTTTGTATGTTATTATAAACTTTTCCTAAGCCCATGTGGGCAAGGTGCACAATGGCTTATGTATTTGATATTTGGAGTGAGATCGTCAGGCATTCTATGTACAATGTCTAGATTTTTACACTTTGCTTGTAATGCACATATTGTTTTCAAATAGTTGAATCAATAGAGACGATGTTACCAAACCTAACTAATAAAATCAAACAGATTAAAGTTAAGTTATTTTAAATCATTTAAAAAAAATTATACAGACACAAAGTAATTCGGCCTACGCTGCACATAAGTCGGGATATCCCGGTGCGGCAGCATTGTCCCCGCGGCGACCCGACCGGTTTGTTATCCTGTCCCTATTTCAATCTCAATTATTTAAAATTAAAATTCGGCATGTGTATTTATCAAATTTAATATTTAATGTATCTAAGCTAAACTTGCGTGCAAAGGAGTGACCAGCTCCAAGCTTTTATTATGCAACGTGCGCTAATTTATGAATGAGTCCACGTGTAAATTTGAGGCCTGGGACACAAGGTCCGCCTGCAACCTACGACCCCTGGTGTAGAAAGATGGGGTGGAGGAGGTGGTCCGCCTCAGGCTGCACCCATAGTAGCTACGCCCACTGCCTAATGACCCCTCTCCCAAAAAGAGTACGACCAGAAAGTCAGCATATTTTCGTGACTAAAATAAACTCCCAATGACTAAATAGGACAGAGGTTTTGGACTAAGAGAATAAAGACATTACTTTTTTTTGAAGGAATCAAGTGAGACATAAAGAATTATGAATTTTCTTTATCTCTCCTAGCATCCACAACGTCAGATCATTCTAATATGCCTATAAGGTCTCTCCTAGCATCCACAACGTCAGATCATTCTAATATGCCTATAAGGCCTCTCCTAGCATCCACAACGTCAGATCATTCTAATATGCCTATAAGGTCTCTCCTAGCATCCACAACGTCAGATCATTCTAATATGCCTATAAGGTCCTCCCACTGGTCCAGCTTTCTACCCTTAAGACTCTGGTTAGCCTACATATAACTATGTCATATAGCCTACATATAACTATGTCATATAGCCTACATGTAACTATGTCATACTTTTTGAAGCAAAGGGACTGGAGCGCTTAATATCCTTCGTATGATTGGCGCTAAGAAATATCTCCCAGTGCCCAAGGCTACGCCACTGTCCAGTCAGTACAGTCTAGTACAGAATATCAATCATGCATGAATAGGGCTTTTTAAGAATGTATAAATAACAACGTTAAATTATTGGAACTTGTCCAGAAACTCTGTAAGAAAAGCCATGCAGATAGGTCTATGAATCCGCTGCAGGTCAAGAAACATGACGAAATGAGGGGGGGGGGGGACCCAATATAACCGACCAGGGCCCACTATACCTTCAGGCGTCCATTTAAAATTTGCTATCTTCAGATGTACAAAAGATAAGATATGAACATCGTGGGTTAAACGAACACAGATGCCCCCACTTTCCCTGGAACCCCCGATAGATTCAGCCATCGTCATATATATTCATTTAAAGGTACCTTTTANTTTTTTTTTTTTTTTTTTTTTTTTTTTTAATTTTTTAACTAATTTAAATTATTTATTTTAGTTGAATTTTAATAAAAATTTAATGACACTATCTCCGAGATTTAAAAAAAAAAAAAAAAAAATTGTGGTACCCACTTTCCTAAGCCCCAACCACAGTCAACGACATTCCACTGGTATGACTTTAAACGTGTCACTTTATTAAAATAAAAAGCACAAGAAATGTATTTCAATGGCTCCGACGGCCAAAAATAAAGCTTACCGCAATCTATCTCTCTATGCTGTATAATGAAGAGACTTTTCGGACACACTGCCAAAATCAATTTCTTTAAAAGCCCAAAGCTCTGGAACTTTGAAATAAGGATTCCCATTATCGCCTCATGTACATTTGATGACCACCTTACGACATATGATCTAGGAAAAAAGTTACGTCATGTTTTAGGGGGAATACCCGTTATTTGTTTCTTTAGCCGTCGACATTTGTTCACACGTAATGTTCGTTAAGAAGTAGGAAACATTAAGTTTGGCAGGGAGGTGGCTGGGGTATGAGGTTGCGTTTTGCTGAAACGTATACGACGGACAGGCCCGGCACCTGGTGGGACTCAGTGTAAATAAACAAACCCCACCTGATCACGTCGTGACTCGCGACCGTGTCGAACTGACCAACGCGGTTCTGTGACCAGGCATAACAATCACGCTTCTGTTGGTTTCCGCTTGTGTAACGGGAAGGTAATCTGTCTGGAAGGCGATGTACCATGTTCTTAGGAATATCGTATTGGAAACAATATGATAGTCTAACTTCTTGAAAGGGATTCTCGGCGTTTGTTTGTGTTGGTTTTTTTGTTTTTGTTTTGTGTTTTTTGGTGCACAAATTCAAATAACAGGACTTTAAACTTTAAAGGTATCTTTTTTTTTTTAATGTTTAGATTGGTGAAATCTATGTATTAATTTCTTGTTTTAAAAACAAGAACGACTTTACAGTTAAACTTCTAATAATATTAGTTGATATTTCGTTAATAAAATGATAGAAAGGTGCCAAAAGGCGAGTGAGAACAGCATTCGGGGGGAAATATCACACAGTTGTGTTGTTCGGCTTGCTTAAAAATTGTACTAGATGATATTCAATGAGCCCAGTGCTTACTGCCAAATGACCACAATCCCGTCGTTGAAGTTTAAAATCTATATTTTTTTATTAGTGAAACTTGATTTAGTTCTCTTATCTCCGTGACAAACACCAAGGAGCTGGTTCGGTGCGTATCTGGAACAATGCCATTGTTTTTGCCTGGGCTGACTTCGGAATAAACGATGAATATAGCGTTGCGTTTGAGAGTCGGGGTTTCGCGTGAAGTTTTCCCGATAATGCCAGCCTGCATAACAGCAGTTTTATCAGTGCAGGAGAACAAGCGGCCGCAACAACTACACTGTGTTCTCAGACATCCGTATCAAGGCATTAAGAAATATTTGTCATTACAGTCTCATCGAATGAAAGTAAGAGAGAGAGAGAGAGAGAGAGAGAGAGAGAGAGAGAGAGAGAGAGAGAGAGAGAGAGAGAGAGAGAGAGAGAGAGAGAGAGAGAGAGAGAGAGAGAGAGAGAGAGAGAGAGAGAGAGAGAAGATATCTTTGATGTTGGTAACACAAAGAAAGAAAAAGAGAGAGAGAGAGAGAGAGAGAGAGAGAGATAGAGAGAGAGAGAGAGAGAGAAAGATAGATAGAGAGAAAGATTGAGAGAGAGAAAGAGAGAAAGAAAGAGAGAAAGAGAAAGAAAGAAAGAGAGAGAGAGAAAGAGAGAGTGAGAGAAAGAGAGCTAAAGAGAAGGAGAAAATCGAGAACGAAACAGAGAGAGAGAGAGAGAGAAAGAAAGAGAAACAAAGAAAGAGAATGTCTTTTCCATTCAATATTCTACGTTTCTGAACTCCTTCTACAAATCCTGCCTAATCCTAACCCCTATATATAAATATATATAATATATAACATGCCATGACGTCATATTAGAACATTCCTCTAAACGTTTATACCTATACCATCCATGTAGGATTTACTTGGAAACACATCTTCTTCAATTTTGGGGAGTTCCCAGAAGCTACGTAAGCTCTTTATAGACCTTTGCACACGTCCCTGGCTGTAAATCTCAACGACACTCCAAGACGGCGGGTTTCAGTCTAGCAATAACGCTTTCTTTTGTAGTCGACCAGAGGCTGTGAGATCTCATCAATATGGCCGACGTGCCGAGCAATAATTCTTCGATGGAGCTGAACGTCTACTTCACGGAGCAGCCAGTGGCTAGCCTCGAGCCCAAGTGGAAGATACTTATAATCGTCGCGTGCGTCGTCGCCTCACTGGTCATGTGCCTTCTGATCTACGTCGTCGCTAAGCTGAAGGGACGTAGGAACCAGAATGAAACCTATTGGAAGCTGGCACACGACCAACCAACTTTTGGACCTAGTAAGTTTTGTTATCTTAATTAATATATTTAACTATGGAGCCGTTTTTTGACTGTGCCCAGAGCCCCCAAAGGCCTCGATCCTTAATGCACTTAATCTATTACATTGTACTGACCACAATCTTCTACTGTCCACAATCATGAACTGTCCACAATCTTGAACCACTCGTAATCTCGCACTGTGTGCAATATGGTACTGTCCACAAACTTGTACTGTGCACAATCTTCTACTGTGCACAATCGTGTGCTGTCCACAATCCTGAACTGTCCACAACCGTGAACTGCTCGTAATCTGGCACTGTCTGAAATATGGTACCGTCCAATGTTCCCTTTTAGCTGCGCGGCTGCGCGGCCGCGCAGCTATCTCACAGACGCCGCGCAGCAGTTTTGAGTACCGCGCAGCAAATTTCCATGCAAATGTGTAGGCAGTAAAATTGTGCGCACAAAAAAATTGAAGCTGTAAAACTTTGCACACTACTGTATGATATTGAACACGAACCAACGAACCTTAGAAGGGACATTGGTACCGTTCACAAATCTTGTACTGTCCACAATCTGGTACTGTCCACAATCTTGTGCTGTCCATAATCTTTAACTGTTGACGACCGGGAACTGCTCGTAATCTGCCATTGTCTACAATAGGCACTGTCCACAGTCGTTTACTATCCATAATCTTGTGCTGTCTCCAATAAGTTACTTCCCATAATTATGCACTGCTCATAATCTGGCGCAGCCAGTTGCCTGCTCTCTGGAGAATTTCCGTCCACAAGTGCTTTAGAATCCCCGATTTATTCAAGTTGTTTCAAATTAAGTTTATCCAAAACAGTTAGATCACTTTGGTTCACGGACTAAAAGGCATGCAAATTAAACTTTTGAGATGCCATCACGACGTGTTAATGTAAACACGTGTGTTCATATAGTGGCAAAACAGTAAAGGTCCCAGCCCAGAGGCGTCGACGCGTAACATCCCTCACTAATCTAAGTTATAACAATCAATGTAAAATATGGCTTTCGACCCCCCCCACACATACACACACCACCACCCCCCCACCCCCACTTCCCTTTACCAAAAAAAAAAAAAAGAGACACGTTTTTTGTCACTGTCAAAGCGTGTGGGGTGTAACCAGGGCCGGCGCCAGAGTATTTGGCACCCTAGGCGAACCTGCCTCACTGCGCCCCCCCTCCACGCCCATGGCAACTAATTATTTAATTAATAGTGCCGCCCCCTAAAAATTTGCCGCCCTAGCCGGCCGACTAGTTCGCCTAATGGTTAAACCTGGCCTGGGTGTAACCTATAGGTCTACGTTTCATGTTCGTGTACAATTCACATTTCTTATTTGTGGAAAGTCTTGTCTCACGAACTCATTTCACTACGATAGGCTACTAAATCGTCCGTCGGTGTAAAACATCTGCAACACGCCGGTTTATTTTAACACATTATTAAACTTTTTAAAAAAACTAATCATTTTCATGATTTTTTTTGTGTGCAGATTTTCCAGGACCATTCATCCCGGAATTTACACCCGGAAGTGTGAAATCTTTAAATTCTCCTACAAGAGCCGCCTCCCCCGAGAACTACAAAGGCGGCGGTCTCGGTGGGGGCCAATGGATCTACAAAGGAAGACAAGTTGATTGCAAAGATTTGTTGATATGACCACGAACGTGTGTCTAACAAGTGTGTCAATGAGAACAGAACAAAAAGATTATGTACAACAATGAAGCAGTTGATCTATTGACTTACAAGGTCACTGTGGAGTAACCTTTGATTAGTACACCCTCGGTCAAGACAGAGAGATTCGTCCTGCCTTCTAGAGCTCAGCTTTACTTCAGTTAAATGCTTTGTTTGCATGCCATGTAAGGGGGGGGGGTCGCGAAATTCAAATGGTCAAGTCGGAGGATGTGATCCTGAGTAATCGCTGTTTTTGGAGATACAATTAAGAACTATGGACATTTGGCTTAGGGGAATGAATGCAATAGATTTGCGTAGCTAGGGTAGGTGCCACTCGTAGCGGGAAAAGTGAGGTTTTTTTTTTTTTTTCTGACACTCTTCCCGAAAAAGACTCTGCAGTCGTTCTCAAAATAAAGAAAAAAAGATCCACACCCGTTGCATAATAACTTGGTGTTTATGATNCTTCATCCATCAATTGATCTATTACTTCACCCATTACTTCATCCATCAATTGATCTATTACTTCACCCATTACTTCATCCATCAATTGATCTATTACTTCACCCATTACTTCATCCATCAATTGATCTATTACTTCACCCATTACTTCATCCATCAATTGATCTATTACTTCACCCATTACTTCATCCATCAATTGATCTATTGCTTCACCCATTACTTCATCCATCAATTGATCCATTGCTTCATCCGTTAATTCATCAATAAGTTCATGCATCAATTGATCCATTGTTTCATCCATTGCTTCATCCATTAAATTGATCGATTACTTCATGAGTCAATTTATCCTTTAATGCAGCCATTATTTCATCCATCAACTGATCGATTGCATCATCCATTATTGCATCCATTATTTCATCAATGGTTTCATCCATTAATTAATCCATTAAATCATCCGCAAGTTCATCCATCATTTTATCAATTGTTTCATTCATTAGTTCGTCCATCAAAATTTATCCATCACTAAATCCATTTCTATATTCATCCACTTGATCCATGCCAATGATTTTTCTATAATGATTTTCTGAATAAAAAAAATAAAACTGCACAAGCTAATGTGTTTGTGTGAGTGTGTGCAAAGGTGTGTGTGTATAAGTGTGTGTGTGTATGTGTCATTTTATTTCGGAATAATCTACTTCTTGTTAATGTATGTATAGATTTTTTTATTTCATGAAAAGAGCTTCAAATGAATATACATTTAGTATAAAGCATTTAAAAAAAAAAAAAGTATTTTTAGTATTACACTAATAGTCAATAATTTTTTTAAACTGGCAGAGTTGATCACGTGATCTCTATAAAATTACTATACACACAATCATTCCTTTGGGTCACGTTTATGCATCAACACAGCCGGTTTAAAATTTAGACCCTTGCCCTCGCGGTGCTGTAGGGCCAGGGTCTCAAACTAACCGATAAGCCGCAAAAAAAAAAAATATTTTGATGATCCAAATAGCATGAGGTCATCTTTCATTGTGGCAAGCAACACAAATCACTTGGCGGTGTCCGCCAGAGACACCTTGGAGAGTTGTAGCCCCCATGGCTAGTTTTGAGACCCACTGCCTTTGAGGGAGAAAGGATGAGACGTGGTGTATCCTGAACATAATGATAATCTAAGTGTATGTCGTGTAGATATTTACCTAGGGAATGCTTAAACTGGGTGTATGATCCTGCATTAGAGATTGATAACTATCTTTCTTTGTTTGTTAATCATGTTTTTTTTAAAGCTGAGTTGATAATAGTTTGTGTTGTCATAAAATATACATATTTATATATGTTCCTTTAAGCAGATGAGCACCAAGAACTTGCAACATCAACAACAAAAGTAAAATAGTCACTTCTGAAAAATAGACATCTTTTTCAAAACATCTGCAGTCAAGCTAACTTAGCAATGGATACCAGGAAACGACGTTATACTGTACGGGGGAATGAGAGAGCAGACAACACTAGCAAAACATGGAGCATCCACTGAACAGTCAAACATACCTTGATCACTCAACACAGTCAAATATACCCGGATCACTCAACACAGTCAAATATACCTGGATCACTCGACACAGTCAAATATACCTGGATCACTCGACACATCAAAACATACCTGCATCACTCAACACAGCCAAACATACCTGGATCACTCAACACAGCCAAACATACCTGGATCACTCAACACAGCCAAACATACGTGGATCACTCAACACAGCCAAACATACCTGGATCACTCAACACAGCCAAACATACCTTGATCACTCAACACAGCCAAACATACCTGGATCACTCAACACAGCCCACTTAGCTCCTAAACAGGCTTAAAACTTAAATTAGAATTAACCACTACGACTTTTATTTTACCGCTTGTTGCTTGCCGTCCATTGATCAGGCGGTTACTTGCCGTCCATCAATCAGGTGGTTGCTTGCCGTCTACTGATCAGGTGGTTACTTGCCGTCTACTGATCAGGTGGTTAGTGGTTGTTTCATTATTATTTTTTTTTATGCTTCCTTGAGACTTAGACTGACGATTAAGTTGAGGTGGATTTAAGTTTTAATTTTTACATTTGTTTCGTACTTGAGGCGGAAACTCAAATCCGTTATTTTAAAAATTAAACAATAACAATGGCGACCAACTTTATTTCGTGATATTAATTGAAAGCTAAATTACATTAAACGTATTTTAGCTGTATAGTAATAAAAATACAATGTAAGTGATTTATTTAGCTTTAGTTTCATTGAACAACTACTTATATCTTAACAAATTTACTGTTAAAATTCTTGAGTTGAATATAAACACTTGTCTAAGTTGTGAGTCAGTGACTGTGACAGCACTCTTTTACTTTTAAATTTTAAGTCTTTTACTTTTACCCAATTTTCAATCTCAATCAGTGTCTCAGTTCACCTCGGACTTTTTGGTTCCTGTTTATTCTGTCCATACATGCCAGCCTGTGTTGTGGGATAAAAAAAACTGTACAAAAAGTACCTACAAACTGTGTAACAGCATGATGAAAAATGTACAGAAAAACTGAAAAGTAAAAAAAAAAAGGATAAGGATGATTTTATAATTTTAATTAGATCTATAAATCTATATATTATTTTTGAATAAAGGCAATTTTAAAAAAAATCAAAACACAAGTGATAAGTGTCATTGTTGATTTTGCATTGTAAAATATATTTGGTTATATCATCATTATTATTAAGTCTATTTCTTAAACTTAAATCGGTTTGGAATTTTTTCAACATTTAGACGAAAGATCTCCTGTATGCTATAATCACAGGAGAAATGAAACATTGTTTATTCCAGCGTATTTGGTCAGTCACTCATTTAATAAATTCCCCAGGTGTGTTTCTAATTCCAACTTTCTTTTTTTAAAATTAGGTTTCTCCTATTTAATTAAAAGTTTCCACCTGGAGTAAAATAATAAATAGAAAAAGAAAAAAAAGGTAATTAACAATTCTCATATTGATTTTGGCTCTAAATTAACAAAAAAAAATATAGTTAGTATTGTATGGCCCACTATTAAAAGTTAAAGTGAAAAAAATTGCAGCCACCTTAGCTTTAGAAAGTGTTGACAAGCTCGAGACTTTAGTTTAAGAAAGTGTTGACACATTCACATTAAATTAGGTTATGCAATAGTGATATATATGCCTAAATGCTAACGCTATTAATTGTTAGTGATATCAAAATTATTTAATTATTTTTTAATAAATGTGCTAATACTCTGTATTTTCTGTTATCTGGGTCAGTACCTAGCTCAGCCTACTGAGCATATTGGCCACCTTACATTCATAACAATGTTTCTCCATTCTCCATGTAAACTTTCTAGAATTTAAGCACATTTAGGGTACCATACTTCATATAGGCTAATTAAAGCCAATGGCTGAGTAGTTGAATTATGTTATTTTTTAAAAACTTTATAAATATTAGTTCAGTTAGGCCTAATTAATAAGATAAGTAATGCGCCTTTCTCCCCCCTCCCCCCCCCCTCCTCCCTTTCTCCCAACCAAGTTTTATTAGTCTAATAATTAGGAAAGCCTACTCACTGAATTACTGACTCAAAATTGAAACTGATAGTGAGGCTGACTATAAGAAAACTACTAATATTACTTTATTGACAGTGGTAGCACAATGTACATCCTTTACTTGCTGATTTTAGTATTTACCTACATAGAAATAGGTCTCATTAAGTTGAGTAAGGTGAGGAATCAGTAGGAAGGAACTGTTAACCCCCTCTTAGAATGTCAGAGTCATTGAGGTATTTAACATGATACATTACAAACCTAAAAAAAAGAAGTAGCAACCTGCAATAAAAATAAAATCTAAGTGGTGTTTTTATTATGGAAAATGTGAAATAATATTCACAATTATTATGCTTGTGTAAAAATCTATCCTTAAACTACTTACACATGATAATTTGAGATTAGTGAAACACTCTGGCTGGAGACTTTGCTCAAGAGCTATGGTAATTAATTTAAATTTTAACTGCAAAAAGGGTGTAGATTAAGATAAGATGTTTTGTTTTCCCCCCAAAACTTAATGAAAAAAATGCATTTTTTTTTCCAAGTTTTAGCTTTACATACCTTTGTGTATTATTGAGTATTTTTTTTGTCTTCAAATGTTATAAACGTTTTGCAATTCTCATGTCCATTTCTTAGATCTAGTGAGCATGCCAGACTCGTTGACGCACAATGAAGCTTGATGAATTTGAAATCCGATTTGACAACCCTAGAGGTGTCTTCTGTGCTGGAGAAAATGTCAGTGGAAATGTTGTTGTCAAATTGACAAAGCCTATGAAGATGAGATGTAAGCACTACTAATAATTCAATTAACTACTTAGAACCTTTCATGTTGTATTCAGAATAATTCATTCCCATTCGGTTCTAGTTCAGTCAATGTTTTATTTTTTAATTGTTAAAAAAAGATGTATATAATTTTTTTGTCTGGCAATACTTGTTAAAAATAGCACTATTTCAATTAAATAAATCCTAAGTAATCACAAAAAAGTGTTCATTTTTAAAGTTGATTTTCTTATAAATGGATCTTATTTAAGGAAAATATTGATCATTCTATATAGTGGTGCAGTATAATGCATTTAAATGGTTAAATAATTTCAAAATGATATTATTTTCTATCAAGGTTTAACACTGTACTTTGAGGGGCGTGCCAAGTCACATTGGGAGGTAAAGCAGGGTCGTAGCAAAACCGATTACAGGGCTGGTGAAAACTACATAAATCACACAGTTACGCTCTATGGCACAGGTAAGATTTTGCTGGATCAGATCCAAACAACTTTTTTCAAATTTTACATAGTCCATCCACAATACTTTTCCATCTGTTCCTGTCCTGGGCTAGCTTTGCTAGTTCAGTTCAACTTCTCTTTATCTCTGCCTCTTCCAAGTGGCTCTTCATCTTCCTCTTTTCCTGGTACCTTAAGGATTCGAGGTCAGGGCCTGTCTTGTGATGTTAGTGTTTGGTTTTCTTCATGTGTGCCCTAACCAACTCCATTTTCTCTTTTGTATCTCCGTTTCTACTGGAACTCTTGCTGTTTTCTCCCAAAGGAAAGTGCTACAAATTTTGTCAAACCATCTTATTTTGAGGATCCTTCACAAGCCACTGTTTATAAAAACCTGCACTTTTAAAAAACGGTCTCTCCAGATGTTATTTTAGTAGAGCCATTTCCTGTCCATCTTGCCTCACTTATTCCTAAGATGTCTACCCTGAATCTCCTGTGTTCCATAGTCACTTCTTTTGTCTTCCCCTCCTCTCACATCGCTCTAACATTCCAGGTGCCAATCCTGGAACTTTTCCTTAGCATCGGACAGGAAGTTGGCAAGTCAGCTCCCTTTTGGGTTTGGCTAACCCATGTCATAGTCCCTTTATGAGGATCTGCTCTCGCTGGGGTTGGAAAACATTTATTGATTGTGGATGTTTTTGTAGTGGTAGCTGAGCTTCTTGCAATGAACAGGTTGCTGGCTCAATGCTAAGCATGATACAATAATAAGACGCCTTGTATGACGTGCTTGCTTGGCACTGACTTATTCTACTCCAAAATTAGGTCCCGTTAGTGGAACGCTGGGACAGCTGTCATGCTGCTTGAGTCCTAAAAGTAATAGATAAAAATTTTTGGAAAATTAAATTTTTCTTTTAAAATTTACTTTAGTTTGGGGTTGAAAAGGTTTTGGACATGAGTAGAAAACAGGTGGTAGAGACTTGAATTTGGGTTGAGTATATTGATACCAGGTATAAAATTATTTGATTATTTTACTATAAAAAATATGATTCAATTTATAAAGAGTCAATTCTTTTTTCTATAACTTAAACTTATTCTATTTTCAATTAAATTTTCAGGACAAAACAATAGTGAGCACCCAGCTGGGGTGCACTCTTATCCATTTGTTTTACATTTGTTACCAACTCTGCCTTCATCATACGAGGGTCGCCGAGGCTATGTTAGATACTTCTGCAAGGCCACCATTGATCGCCCTTGGAAATTTGATGAACACACAAAGAGGGCCTTCACTGTTATTCACCATTTTGATCTAAATTCTGAACCAACAGCTTCAGTGAGTACAGTTATCTTATAAATTTTGGTGCTTGGTGCTAATAAACTATGTTATGGATGTTAAATGGTAATAACATTTCAGTTTATCAGTTTCCTGACTATGGTCTATGAAAATGATTGTTTTTTTTTTTACAAAATTATAATTAACTTTAATTATTTTATTTATTTGTTGTTCAAATTACCAAAACATCTCAGATTTTTAAATAATATTAAATGCAGCCATATTATTTCAGCACTTTGCCTTTGTGAATTTAGGTAGCATGTCTTGTGCAAATCAATGTGGTCATTTTTACAAAAAATTGATGTGCCTGTCCCAGGTGTCCTGGCTTGGTGATAATATGTAGAAATCACTAGATACCCAGCCCTCATGAACTTAGTAAATCTATTTATCTTTCTTTTTTTATTCCATCTCACCATCAGGCCTTTCTTCTTCTTCCAAACTATGATTGCATAAGTTTTTTTCATCCATTTCTTAAAATCACTGAATGAAGATGTTAATTTAAGTATGCATCAGCAACTGTTTTTTTTTTAATGTAATGTACTATTAAGTGCATTGTAATCAGATTAAGAAATGAAATATAACACTTATTTAGTTATCAAAAAAATGATTTGACTCATCCAAAGGATGTAACTTAAGTAGAAATGTGTCTTCTGTAGCCCCGTTAAAATTTTATTTTTTGCACATATATAAATTTTATTTATTACTATAGAAATTAATGATGTGTCTTCTGTGGACCGGTGAAATTTTATTTTGTGCATATATCTAAATTTTATATTTTTACTATATAAATTAATAGCATGCAATGATGTCAAATGAGTTTGATACTTCCTTTGCATATTTTAGCTATCATTATTTTATTAAGACTAATTAAAGTATTGATTTTTGGAAGCCACTTTTTTATCAATAATTCTAGTAAAACTTGACTTCTCAAAGCTTGATATATCATTTACTCCATGTACTATTTTTAGATGCCTATTTGGGCTGAACAAGAAGAGTCTATAGAAGGCTGTTGCTGCTCATCTGGCAACATCCAGGCCCGCATGACCCTAAACAAGACTGGCTATGTTCCTGGTGAACCCTTGAATTATACAGTTGACATAATTAACAATACAGATAGCGATGTAACAGGTCTGGAAGTTGACCTCAGACAGGTTAGTTAAATGCTTTCAATGAGATTATATCTGATACTCTAGTCACATGATTAGCATTACATTTACTCTATAAACAATTTGGTTAAAGGCTAAATATTTTTAAATAACACAGGTAGTTAGAATTGTGAAATGAAACCTTCTGTGTCTGTTAACATTAGCATAAGCATGAAAGGGGCAGTTTTTCCTTTTAGTTTTTATTTTAAAATCAATTTCATTTTCTTTTTTGTTTTATGAAACTACTCTACTTTATAAGGTTTAAATTCTACCCTAAATAATAATCTTTTTAAAAAAATAATAATAATGCCATGTTTTTAAATGCTGTGCATATTTTAAGTATATTTGAGATACAAAATTATTTTGCTGAATGTCAATGTTTACATCAGTTAACATGGTGTTCATTTCATTTGATCTTTTTTTAGTTTTTATTTGAATAAAAATAGTTAATTGTATCATTATTGTAATATAGTAATTTCATTTTGTTTCAAGTAATGCAACATTTGTTAATTGTTTAAAACTCGAATTTATGTTCATTTGAAATTTCTACTCTTCTTTTTAGATTGTTAAATACACTGGCTACTCTGACAGTATATTTTCCTCGGGACACCCCAAGTTTCACGTAAAGACAGACAACTACCCACTATTCGCGGGACCATTCCATGCCAAGAAACATTCTGAGGCACATATAAGTCGATCTATATGTATACCTGCACTTCCACCCTCTCGCCTAGAGGGGTGTGGCATTATTGATATAACTTATTTTGTCCATGTGAGTTACCCGTGATTAACATAACTTATCTTATTTTATGCAACAAAATACACAAGCACATTGATTATTTATTTGTAATTATCAGTTCTTTTTATTTTTTAAAAAAATCAAATATAAACGTAATCAAATAATTCGCTTAATTAAGTACAGCATGTTTTTGTAATTTTGACAGAATGGAGAAAGTTTTGATGGTTTGTTATTAACTTGTTATCTCTTCTTTAATCTTTAAAAACAGTAAATTCCTCACTGTAATTTACAGCAGTCTGAAAATTCTAGTTGTCAGATTTTGCACACAAAAAAAATGTGAAAACTTTTTTAAAAATTCATTCATTTTCAAATTATACTTTCCTTATGCCACAATTATATTCTATGTAAAAAAAATATTTTTTTTAGTGAAACTATGTGTTGCATATTAAGATGAACAACTGTAGAGGCTATACCTATATATAAAAAAAAGGGAAATGCATCAGATTTTTTAACTACCCATGCGTGAAACTAACATTATTAGAAGCTGACTAAATATGACTTAAACGTTTGTAAGTAATTTGTACAAATATTACTTTTTTTATGTTAATATCAAACTAAATCTTTTTAGATGCAGCCTCTAGTAAGATGGTCGTCTCTTCAAATTGAAAAGGAGATCATAATTGGCACCATACCCCTTCAGAGCCCCATGGCACCCCCACCATCTTTCAATGAAGTGTTCCTTGGTGGCGTTTCCCCATCAGCACCTCCAATGGATCTGGCACCTCCACCCTACCAAGAACGTAAGCAATAAAGTACATCTCAATGGACTTTTACAAAAAACAACCGAATGCAGGGTTTAGATTTTAGCAACCTGTTGGTTGAGTTATTTTGATGACGGTGTAAATGATCATTTTAAAAGCGTATGTCGAGTATCTGAGGTTGTTATAAATGCACTACCTACTAAGTGATATAGACTAGAAGTCTGAATAAATAATTCATATTTCTATATGTCTGTGTACATTTTTTTTTTAAAGTGTTTATCCAGTATCTGAGGCTGTTTATAAGTGCACTACTTATTAAATGATATTTGACTAGAAGTATGAATAAATATTTCATGTCTATGACTGTGTAAATTATCATGTTAAAAGTGTATGTCTAGTATCTGAGGTTGTCATAATTGAATTATATAGACTAGAAGTTGGAATAGTCATATGTTTATAAGTGTGTTGCGTAAATATTCAACAGCTCCTCCAACATATGAAGAGAGTGTTTTTGGCCGTGTTGAAATCAGGGATGAGAATGATGATGCACACACAGAAGGAAATTTGTCATGGGCTCCATCATATCCATACTATCACTGGGACCCAAACACTAGGCACTTTCAGGTGAGCACGTCAAGTTTTTTTTCTAGATTCACAAATTTCATTTCACTCAAAGAAGCTTCTGTATTAATTTTTGTGAAACATTTTATAATGACACTTCTAATTCATAAAATGTAAGATTAAAATAGCTCTTCTTCTCATCATAGATGATTGCCTCCACCAATGGGCCATCAGTTGATGCGAACAGTTTGCCCTTGTACAGCCCGGTTGCCCCACCAGTGCTAACACCTTGCCCCTCGTACAATCAGCTATAGGAAGTCTTTTTGGTAAACCACTGTTTTGTAATGACATTTTCTCTTTGATCTGCTGTCCAAAAACCATTTAACTCATAATTGGAGGTTCATTTCATATCCTGATTAATTGTGACCTGATAAATAAAGGATTAGATAATATAAGATTATATTATTTTACTGATCCAAAACAATGGAATTTTTTTTTATTATTACAATGTACATGTTCATTTTCAGCACTTAAATAAATATTCCTACAATGGCAAACAATTTTAGAATGGAACAATTTAACATGAGACATCTCTAAGTATTTCTCAAGCGCAAAAAAACCAACAACAAAAACAGCCGTCATAAGCCATGGAACTTCAGTCAAATACTGACTTTAAGAGTAAATTATTTAGATTTTATAACAGTTGGGGAGCACACTGGAAAGTTCTGACAGATTAGGAAACAAATTAATTTTAACTGTCCTACCTTTGAGGGAAAGAATATGCCTTGATCGAGCTGATCCTAGTTATTTGTGATGAAGAGGGTGGGATGCACCGCCAACATTTTTTTTAGTTTTACAAATGCATATTGCTTCAAAAAAAAACTTCAAGTGAAGGATTTTTTGAGGGATGTTACTTGCTTTCTTAGTATGTCAATTTAATTGGTGTTTGGTGAGAAGTGAAGAATTCCCACAACAGCATGTAATACTAAAGTTCAGTAGGCTTCTAATTGTTGCACTTTAGAATAGTCTAATAATTTTAATACAATTGCCAAAATTTTAATAATTTTTTAAGAACGACAATTCTTTGGTTAACTTTTTTAAATAGAATTCAGTCTTTGTTTTGCCACGGTAGCTTATTATTTATGGTGACAATTAGTTGCTTACATGTTGCATACTTGCTCTATATCGGTACTGTGTTGTTTGGGGGGTTTTTTTTTGCTATTTGGCTAGCCCTGCTTTGGAAATCAACAACCATTTCTTTGGTTTTTGAGACATTCAAGTGAAAAATATTTTCATTGCACTAGGGGATAAAACTTTTAAGTAAGTTGCCAGTTAGGGTAAGGTATAAAAAACTTTTAATTATGTTGCTGGTTAGGAGGGTTAGGTATAAAATTTTGTTCATTGAAATCCATTCAAATTTGTTTTTAAACATTGTGTTGGGCTCTTCTCTAAATTCGAATCTTTTTTTTTTTTTTTTTCATAGATTTTCAGTGCCCTGAATTCTTATTCAAAGTCAAGTTTTGATTCTGGGCATGTCATTGACCTTTGTATTTGTTTTTAAATATTTTTTTTGTCTTTTTTTTAAATTCGAATTTTTTTTTTTTTTTTTTTTTTCATAGATTTTCAGTGCCCTGAATACTTATTCAAAGTCAAGTTTTGATTCTGGGCATGTCAGTGACCTTTGTCAACCACGGCAGCCTCCAATGTTTTGAAGTTTTTTTCAAGAGCTTGCATGTGAAGCTTTTCCACAATAGATGCAGTGTACATATGATTTATCTGCAGTTTTTCTCGTTCTTCATGCCTTTTGAAGGTAAGTGGTGACTACAGGGAACATCACTCAGACAGTGTTTACCATCACTAGGGATCCACTGAATGTCACTTGGAATGCATTGAACTTCACTATGCATACACTGAACATTGAAATGAGTACAGTGAACTTTGAACTCAATGAAGGTCACCCACAGGTTGAGAACAGGCTGAACATTGGTGTTGGATGTTTAACATGGTAGCTCCACAGTTTATGCAGTTCGTTGCCAGTCATTAATTCAGTAGTGTACATTTTTTTGTTTAGCCATGCAAGAGGAAAAAAAGATTCTTGTCCACCGACATCAAGGTCTCTACTAATTGCGTCTTCTGTGTTCATTTCATCCCATCCTCGTGTACAACGCTGTCTTATGTTTATAACTTAACAAGTTCACAACCCATTTAGAGCTCCTTCTGGATGCTGATGGATATATATATGCCAATTTAGGTCAAGATCCACCAATCCATGTAAAAACGTATGTGGAACAAATCCACAAACAAACAAACAAAGTTTCACTTTTATAAAGATATACATGATTATTTATTTTTTTAAAGTAACCTGTATGCCCCACCCTTGTTTTATTGTACATTTCTCAAACATGATTTAGAGCTTGTAAATGTTATAAGAAAGAAACAAGGCAATGGCTCTATTCGTTGTAACCTTTACCTCCGCTTTGGTTCATACTTTAGTCATGAAACACGTAAAAATACCCCCATGCTATTAGTTTATGTATATATGTTTTCAAAGGCTGTGAATGAAACATTTTAGTGCTGTGTGATAGATGATTAAGATGACCTTAGAATGTGTAGAATTGTTGGAAATGTATACTGTTATTCACACTGTGTTCGTTTTTTATACTAAATACAATATTTTGAAGCTGTTTAAATTTTAATTACAAAAGGCTGTTAATAAAAGAAACTAAGAAATACAAAAATTACAATATAATGAAGAGGAAATGAAAATGGCCAATGCAATGGTACACTTCAAATACAAATGTCTATTGCATGATTTTATAAATCATGTTGGACCACCACTGATTACAGTCCACGCTTTGAATTTTGGATGGTCTCCTGAAATTTTATTCTAACTCTCACTAGGAAACATGTTTGTGTCCTTGTACCTTTATTTCATGTAAAGTGTAATTTTTTTAATGGACTTCCTGTATCCTCTAGTCAGCAATGGCTAGTCATTGAGTATGAAACTGACAAATTCCTGTGTACTGTAAAATTAATATTACTTGCCTTAACTTTTAAAAAAATGTTTTCTTTATCTTTGAAAGTTTTCAATTGCAGGGGATCTCACACTGTAAATCCAGGCCTTATTGTAAAAAAAAATTTTTTTTTTTTTTTTAAACTAGTGATTAGGGCATATCTTATGATGTATTAATATTAATTTTAATGTAGACTTCTGTTCTGTTCTCAAATTTGTGTAACTGATATGTAATTTAATTATGCAATTTTTTGTAACATTGTGTTTGAACCTTTATGTGCAAATGTCTGTCAAGTTGATCAAGTGCTTAAAAGTGACACATGCTACAAAATCCGAACTGTGTTTATTCATTGTATGTTGATGGCAGGGCCATACCTGACACATTTTTTTTTACCTTTTCACTTTGTCACTCCTCTTGAGAAATCATTAATTGTTAGTTGTAAAGTTTGTTATTAAGTGTCTGTAAGCCATGCATGCTCTCCATGTGGTGGTGAAAAGTGTCATTCTTGTGTTTAAAGTTTGAAAAAGATTTTTTTTTATACTTTAGATTTCACTTCTTTTTTTTTTTTAAAAAACAAAACAAAATGCAACATCATGTAAGCAGCTAAAGTTATCTTTGATGAATTAAATTATTTTTTGGTGTAATTCTCTTGTATATAACTTCATTTCATACATCTTTCATAGGATTTTTTTCCCCAGCCTTTGACTAATGTGAGCTGTTTATTTCCTTAGTATATTGATGTAATTAAACAAAATTTATAATGTAGAGATGAATCTATGGAGTCTAAAATTGTATAACGTTTAATCCAGATATAACACTCTTCAGAAGTTGTTTTTTTTCCTGCCTTGGCTTTAACTGAGACTGTTGATTAATGTGAAGTTTCTAATGTCATCTGTTTGATGATTTATCTAGAGCAGGAGCATTTTGCGTTTCTTCATTTCCAAAATAACACATTGATTGTATAGAATAGTTGTTGGTTGTATATAGTAAGATTGATGGACTCTTGAGATTTACTACCCTTTCTTATATAAATAAATGAGATGTACAAGTTGAAATGTTATTTGTGTTACTGGTGGGGGGGGGGGGGG